TACAGTATATGGCTAACCATTTCCTACCGAAAGTGCTATACCTTGATCAACTGTCCTGATCATACACCACATGTCAGACTCAATCCAGAGAGAAAGCCTGAAGGATTAGTATAATTTTTCACCGGTGGAGATAAATAGTTACTCCGTTCGAAGTAAAGACCGGTGTCAGGCAATGTTGCTTACTTTCACTCATTCGCTTTCTTCTGGTGATCGACTGCATAATGAAGATGTCAACACCTGAAGGAACGCATAGGATACAGTGGACAGCTGAGATGAAGCTGGACGACATAGACCCCGCAGATGATCTGGCTCTTCTGTCGTACACGCAACAACAAGTGTAGGAGAAGACGACCAGTGTAGCAGCAACCACAGCAACAGTAGATCTCAACATACAAAAAAGCAAGTCTCCGATATAACACAGCATGCAACAATCGAATCACACTTGGCGGAGAATATTTGGAAGATGTAAAAACCTTTGCGTACCTGAGCAGCATCATCGATGAACACGTTGGACTGATGCGGATGTAAAGGCACGGATCGGCAAAGGAAGAGCAGCATACTTACAACTGAAGAACATCTCAAACTCAAAACACTTGTCAACCAACACTAGGGTCAGAATTTTCAATATTAATGTCAAGACAGTTCTACTACATGGGGCGGAAACCTGGAGATCTACGAAAGCCATCATTCAAAAGATACAGGTGTTTATTAACAGTCGTCTATCCACAATACTTCGGATATGTTGGTCAAACACTATCAGTAACAACGTACTGCGGGAGAGAACAAACCAGATCCCAGTGGAGGAAGAATTGCTGAGGAAACCACCGAACTGTGTCACAAGGCAAGCCCATACATGGAACCCTCAAGGCCAAAGGAGGAGAGAAAGACCAAAGAACGCATTACACCGAGAAATGGAGACAGACATCAAAAGAATGAACAAAACTGGGTAGAACTGAAAAGGAAGGCCAAGGACAGAGTAGGTTGGAGAATGCTGATCAGCGGCCTGTGCTCCACTGGGAGTAACGGGCGTAAGCATGTAAGTAAGTGATAGGTACTGTTATGACTATCAAAGTTCGACTCCCGTAATTTGACCATTTGTCCAATTAGAGCGTTAGTTGACGAGAAACAATGACAAATCTGAGGGGATTCGCTATCAATATTTATACTCTGTCCTCCATCCCTTAGTAGCCAAACAGGTCCGCAACTTAGTTTTGAGTCCAACAATATCCCGACCATACTCCACTTTACGACGAGAAATAATGAACCGTCTATCTTTATCAGATAGCCAAAGAATTCAAGGGCTATTTCAAAGAGAAACATTGGGTGATGTGTCATCATCACAGTTTTCACATCACCTTCACATCTTATTGAGAGACAATACAGCGAGTGAAGCAGTCCTAAAACAAGGAGTACACAGGCTCTCTCATACTACGTTCAACACTGTTTGGATGCAAAAGAACCAGAAACCTCTCAACTTCACTTAGCAGTTATTACAGATAGAACAATTGAAAGAGGCCCCCAACTGGATCATGTAAGATACATAATACAAAAAAGAAGGATCATCAAAGGACCAGGTCATAATAGAGCTTATCGTGAGTGTTAAAAATACTAATGATGTTGTCAGTAAAATGCAAATGGATGATAGAAACAGGAGCAGGTCACCACAGCGACCGAAATTCAAGTCAGAAACGTACAAAAAAGCTGGATAGTTCTGTTGGTATCTCTGGAAGTTTGTGTCAAATGAAAACTGAAGGTCCATCCGTGTTTGTTTGACCCAGGAGATTATCACCAGACAAGCTTAAAATTACTGAGCTAAATTCAACCACACGCTACAGCTGGGTGTTATCCTTCCGTCTGATGGACAATGGGCAACCCCTTTGCATATGGTCCGGAAGAAAAGTGAAGGCGATGGACAAACGTGTAGGGATTACAGATCTCTCAACCGTCAAACAGTACCAGACAGGTGCACAATACATCAGACCTAAGACTTGACAATTGGTTTACAGGGTATGAACACATTTACTAACATTGACTTGGTCAGGGGATATCATAATATCCCAGCAGTTGAAAAAGATATCCCTAAAACAGCTAATACTACACCTTTAGATCTGTTCAACTTTGTACGCATGCCATTCGGCCTGAGGAACGCGGCACATATATTTCGAAAATGTATGGATAACCCATTTCGGGATATTCCTTTTGTATAGGGGTGTGTAGACAATTAGTTAGTTGCCAGTCAGGATTTCATATCACATGAATAGCACATGAGAGCAGTGTTAAAACGGCTAAATGAAAATGGAATGAACATACATCAAAGTGTATTTTTGGTGTTAGAACTCTAGAATTTTTCAAACACTTAATAAGTTCAGAAGGGATTGCACTGATCAAAGAGGTGCACATTACTAGACAATATCACATACCAAGTTCTCTAACACAACTTAGGTTTCTAGGTTTGTTTAATTTTTATAGAAGATTCATACCCAGTTATGCGGAATTAGTGTTACGTTTAACAGATTACCTAAGAGGAAAACCAAAGGAATTTGAAATGACTTCTGAGGCTGTTAAACAGCTAAAGGATAAGCTAGATCAAGTATCCACATTAACGTATACGAATTCCCATTCGCACAAAGCAGTGGCCAGTATTCTTAGACAAACTGGTTAAAAAAAGTCTGCGAAACGATTACGTTCTTCTCAAAAATACCCACTTCAGAAGAGACGAACTATTCTGCCTTCTGACGACAAATTTTCGCGATCTACCTAGCCATTAAGCAATTTATATACACGTTGTAAGGTGGAGGGGTTATAGTTTATACGGATCGTGAACCACTAACCGACGAATTAAAAGCCAGTGCCGATGAATACTCTCCTCGAGAGACCTGACACCTTGACTATATATCACAAGTCACCAGTGATATCCGACATGTTAAAGGTCAGTACAGTTAGGTGGCAGATACATTATTTTGGCTAGAAATGAACATAATACAACAATCTTCAGTAAATTTAGAGACGTTGAGAAAAAATCAGAAAGAAGAACCTACTTATAGAAAAGAACTCTAGTCTCGAATTTAGACAGCTACCGTCGCCTATTGAAGATAGTTTGATTTATTGTGACACGACCAAGGTAATGCCTCAAAAGTTAGTCCCCAGAAATATGCGAAATCGAATAGTTAGTAAATTTAATACTTTGTCTCATGCTGACGCGAAAGCTACTATCAAACTGATTAATCCCAGATGTATATAGCCAATTTTACAAAATGTACAGAAATGGGTTAGAGAATATTCGGCGTGTCAACAACCAAAGATTAATCTTCCCATGAATTCACCCATCGAAATTTTCTCATAATCAAATGCACATTCACCACGTTCTAATGGTTTCAGTTATCTATTTACACTCACAAACAAATTCACAAGGTTTCCAATAGCCATACAATTAACAGACATCACAACTGAAACAGTGGCCAAAGTTGATTGGATCTGTGTTCTTTGCAATCTTGTGCTACATTATTACAAATATGTGTTAGGTACTGATTACTTGTCAACAGAAAACAATATTCGAATTCAATAACAAATTATTTATATTTTCAGTTTTCTCTTTGATATATCATAATATATTTAGACAAAAATAGGTGTTTTTACACAAGATCTACATTCATATACATATATATTCTGCACCATAATCAAACTATGATATTCATTTTCTACTATTAAGCATAGTTATAGAAAGTATCCTATACACCCACTTTCGATTACGGTTAATTTTGGTTGAATCCTTTTATTAACTTACTTATCAGACAATGTTATTACAATAGTAACAATGCTCATATTTCTTTGTACTGTTATAATCACTAGATCACATGACATACTGTAGTTAAAATGTTGATTGCAATTTGACTATAAATTTGCCTATGTATTTTCTCGTTTCTTCACTTCAAATCCGTTCGATATGCTGTTTACAGCTTTGTGGTCTACACTATCCCCTCCTAATAAATTCTAGTTGCCGCTTCTTATTTCTTTCTGATTTTAAACACCATTATGATTTCATATTATAACAGTTATCGAGATGATCGATTAATCAGTTAAAACCACTATATATTAATTCCATTTAATGATTAGTATACAATTTAGTTAAATTTTTTAAAAAAACCAAAATTAAATTAAAACAAACATTTTTTTATGTATTAAACAAAATGATTCATTTAAAAGATAATCTTTTTATGTTTATCAATTTTAAAATTTAAAAAAAAACAAACTTCATAAGTCATTTATTTGTTTTAGTAAATGAAAAATTGTAAAAACGAGAGATTTATAATTTTCATTTTAAAATATTCTAGATTGTTCTCAGTATAAATTGGACATTTATACTTTGTTTTTTTTTAGATAAAAAACGCGCGCTCAATTTGACTTTTATTTTTCAAAAAATCACATAGAAACATTTAGTTATACTTTATAAAACTAAAACAAATCCCTTATTATTTTAAAATGTATAAAGAGAAGAGAGAGAAAGTATGATTATGATGTAATGAGTTTTTAATTTTTGTTTAAATAAATTTATCTTATTATATATAGTTTTCTTTGAATAGTTAGTCAGTTTCAATATTCATTTAACATTAATACTGATAATGTAAAAATCTTTTATAGAATACTAATCTCAATGGTTGAGATCATGAGTCAATTGAAGCTAGATCACCATGGATAACCTGGAAGCAGTGGATGGAGGTTTCATCCTATTGTGTGACTCTTCACCGGCATGCACTCAAGACTCCGCCTTGAGGGATTCGAACCCAGCATCTATTAGTCTTACGAGCGAGCAAGCGAGAGAGCGCCTAACCACTAGACAACTAAGCTGATCGGTATCCAACGCTAATAATGTCTAACTTCAATTCATCCAATGGTGATCTAGCTTCAATTGAATCATAATCTCAACTATTGAAATTACTAATAATAACCACAGAAACCATTCTGATATAAAACATAATAATTAAATAAATAAAAGAAAATTATTATTTATTATTATTATTATTAGTTTTAATAGAATTCAAAGATGGTGTTAATAAATTTTTAAATAATGATGTTTTATTTAAACGAGATGAATTCATTGTTTGTTTAGTCATTATTTTCATATTTAATGGTATGATTTCATTTTCATATTCTGTATCAAGATCATTTGATTTGTTTACACCTATTTTATGAATATTATTTCTTAATAATAAAAATTTAAGAAAAACAAACAAGAGAAAACAATTGAGTAGACTCTTATTGATAAATTAAAGTGATTGTATAGTTTATTCATAATAATTAAGGAATATAATAGTGTATCAGCTTTTTTCTTGCTTTTGTTTTTTTGCTTGAGATGAAACTATCCGTACCAAAATGAATGAAACTATTTTTGTTTGAGGTCAAGTAGATGGATAAAAAAGGGGGGTCTGCTCATTTTCTATTTACTTTGGATGTTTTAAAACACAAAAACAACTTCCACTTTTTTTGTTAAAGTGTATTGTACTTATATTAATTTTTTTTTTAAAAAAAACTGTATAGTTTTGCATATTAAATATATTTTTCTACGCTCAGATTAAAATTGATTGCCATGAAATACCTTTATTGATAATGTAATGATTTAGAGTATAGTTAATGAATTAATAAGACTGATACATAACTTCATTTATGGTTGAAATATTGTTCAGAACAGAATTGTTTGATCTCTCGATTATATCTACTTAACCATTCCAATTATTATCAATTATTTTGTTCACCTACTAAATAGTTTGGTTTCTAAGATCAGTTCTCACTAAAGGAGTAATTTAGAGTACTTTTAGAACAACCAGAATTTAGTACTAAACAATAAATTATCTGAAGTAGATAAGCTACGTAGTTTAGAATGTTTGTGTTATTTGTCACTCATGAAATAGTTGAATGCAAAACGACCGGAACTAATTAGAAGTAAGTAATTTTTTGAATTAGTTAAAATTTCTAGTAAGAAGCAAATCTTTCTATAGTTATACGAATTACTTATCAATGGACGGATAAGTTGCAATACATCAAAAAATTGTTAAGGTGGGAAACTTCATTCAGTTATCATTAGTAATTTCATTACGTTTAGGACTGTTTAGTCTAATGACTTTTTTGACTTATAAAGAAATATCCAAGTAAATGAATTAAACCGAAAAACACAATAATCTTAATAATTCATAAACTTTCTGATATATGATTTCTAAAAACAAAAATTACATATTTACTTTATACCAGTTTGATTATAAACAGCGTGGTTAAATAATTAGTTAATAATTACAAGACCATTCAATTTATAATGATATTACTAAGTAAACAGTCAATGTATATTGCTTAAGATAACACAATGACTGAAAAATGCAGTGAAATATTCGTATATATATTGATTAACTTACATAGAATTCTCTTGTGGTATATTATTAACTTGACCTCGTTTAAGAAGTCTAGGATGGTATAATACAGACTTCCAATTGTTTTGATTTATTTCATTTGGACATGATGTTTTACGTGGAGTAGGCATTAGAATTCTCTCGTTATCAGGGACTGAATTTATATCAGAAATCGATGAACTATCACTATTTTTTAACTTGTCAACATCTGTAAATTAATTGTGATTTAAAAAGAAATTTAGAATTAAACAAATTCTAGACTGCAGTTTTCTAGAAGCTTGGTTTAAATGAAATACATATTATTAGTTCAAAATGACCAATACTTTTATTTACAATCTAAAAACTCCATTTGAACAATTTGTAAATTGTATTTTGAGTGGTCATCTGAGTCTTATATACGCTTCCTACATATTTCCACAACCAGCTACTTGAGTGAAGAAAAACTAGAAAAGACCTGTGTTCCACAGAAAATTAAGCCAGATTTTCAAACACTATTTTATATCTCTTTTCTCATAAAACTATGCCAAATCTTAATTAACAGCGTGCATACTAAAACGAATTCAGCTATGTTCACTTTGACGATGAATAATTATCCTATGGATTTTCTAAGGACAATAATTAAGAAAGAAGACTGGAACGATACTGTAAGGGATAAAGGGAAAGAATGGGTTAACATTGTGATGATTCCATATCATAAAAGGTTTTCAGAAGGGATCAGAATGGTCCTAAATCTTCAAAACATAAAAGTATTCTTTTGCACAAACAATACTCTAAGATTCAAACCTGTAACAATCAAAGATACAATACAAAAGAAGGAACAACAAAATTGCATATATATAAAATCAAATATAGTGATTGTAGTGTCATATATATAAGTGGAACATCACGATGACTGAATATGAGGGTGAAGGAACACAAACTTTACTTAAAGTACATTTCTAAATCCTCAGGTGATATAAAAAAGCTCGAAAAGAAATCAGGGATAGCATTACATTCAATAGAGTTGGCCATACCATTGACTTAAATGGCACAAGAATCCTACAGAGAGGTTTTAGTTATTACAAAGAAAGACCAACAGCCGAAGCCCTACACATGTGGGCAAATCTAAATAGTATTAATAGGTGAGATGGAATACAATTAGCTGTCCCAAGGGAACTAATAACTAATGAGTAAATTTGAACGCTTTATTCCATTTTGTTTATCATTTATTATCTGTGCAGCAACAATCACATTCAGCTATTTCATTCAGTTGGTTGATGAACAATTAACTGGAACAGAGAAATAACACATTCATTCATTTATTTTTATTTTGTTTATTTATCTTTATTATACGTATGTTGTGACATGTTCGACTAATATCATATATAACAATCGTATGTTTTCTCTAAAAATTCACCGATCAGTGGCCATAAATAGTGAATGAAATTTCTTTACACACCTCAGATCCATATACGAATAACCATAATCTGCCATCTCAACACACTTTTCGTTTCACACTACATGTCTGATATACACTAAAGCAAATACCTACTTTAAACATTGTTAACATGATTGAATGATTTATTTACCATACAATTAACCGAATAATTATGTACCCATTTATTTTTGATAATTATGATGTTTGATTATATTGTCTTGAAAAAGCTTGGACCAGATTGTGGAGCGAAATGTCGCATTTATTTAGAATTTAACCGCTGAGATTTTATACAAATATATTTTTCTTCCTTATATGCTATTAAAAGTTCCTTTATTCATTTATTTTAAATCATTATTAATCTTTACAAAATTAAATACAAAACATTCATCATGAGATCCTAGGATTAAGCACTTCTGTGAATAATAATATTGATAGTATAACACAAACTGTGAACTATCGTATTGTCAAATTAATCCAATGGTCAATTTAGTTCTTACTCTAATTTTATGTTTACGTATATTGTGATATTTCTTGACATCTCACGGATACATTAAACGAAATCTATATCTTGACAGATAAATGAGATGAACAGAAACTGACAATTAATTTTAAGACAGCTTTCAGTCTAGATAATTCTGAGTATTGATAATACATTTTATGCCAACTATTGCAATAAGTGCTTACATATTTATATGTACAATAATTGGGTTATACATTTATTTAAAAATCAGTATATACCTTTGGAATTAATTTTGCTATTATTGTAAGTTGCATTGATAACGTTACCATTATTACTAATACTATGATTGTTATATAGTCTAGGTATTAAACGTTCATTAGGTTCATCATTTCTTTTACTATCTACATCTGAATGATCAGATGATGATGATGATGATTGTATATGGTTTCCTAACTTTAGCATTGAATGATGAATTTGATCATTTTGTTGACTTAATCGTTTTGATGGTACTTTTGAGTAATTGTTAATCCGATGTACTCTTTTATCTGTTGGTAGTAATTGACGTTTAATTGTAAAATTATTTTTCACTTTATGATTTTGTATATCTTTATTATTTATCATAGATTTCATTTCAGTAAGATGACCCTTAAAAAAAAATTAAAGAAAATAAAGGTAATAAGGTAACAGTTTAGTCTATAAAAAACTATGAAAAACATAACAATGATGAGATTTTACAATTTTACTTAAAACTGTAATTAATTAATTATCAACTATAAATTTATTCCATTTAATTATATTCTAATACTCATATGTGATTATTTACTCTAAAGCTGTTCATAAAAATTATGCAATACAACATGAAAAGTAAATAATCAAATTTTACTGTATAGTTTTTACTAATAAGTGAAGAATGAAAACGTTTGAATAATGCATATACAAAGTAGGAGTCTTGTAGCATCATCTTTATTTCGTTTATATCAGAAGGGGTTTTGTGGATGTGAATCCATTGAAGCTAGTTTATTATGGAAAATGTTGTGAACAGGAAAACAAGAAGCCCTGACAAACTACAAAATCTATTTTTCGGGACGTTATTCCATTTTATTCAAAGCTTGTAAAACTGTGACTTTTATTTTTGTCCCTAATCTATTCTACAGAACATAAGCTTTCGCTCGATGTATGATTCATTGCCATATCCTTTTTTTGTTCCGAAGCTATTGTAATTTAAACATAATATTTTGCACCCTATTTTCTAATTTAATTCCCAGCTTTGGACATAATTGTATTTTGCCTAATTATCGTACGTTGTGGTCGGGTTATTCACTAATTTATTCATATACCTTTCTACACTGAACTGAACTGAACTGAAATCAGGATATCGGGAATAGATCGAGTAGTGTTCCAGTTGTCTTGTTTTCTCTCATTCGCGTGCTTGTCAGCCAATCAAGTGAATGACATAACAGAAAACCTGGAAGCACTGGATGACCGTTTCGTCCTATTTTAGGGCTCCTCAGCGGTGCACCTGTTGTGAGATAGTAGCTTACTGAAGATGCGTCGCTCAATTTTGTGGATTAGTTGAAGTTAGACATTAACACCATTGGATGCCGATCAGCTCAGTGGTCTAGTGGTTAAGCGCTCGCACGCGAGACTGATAGGTCCTGGTTTCGAATATCGTGAGGCGGGATCTTAGATGAGCACTGCTGAGAAGTTCCACAGTAGGACGGAACGGTCGTCCAGTGCTTCCAGACTTTTCATAGTGGTCTGGCTTCAATTGACTAACGACCTCAACTCTTTCATTATTGATTTAATAAAGAAATTATTGAAGACGAAAGGAATAAACAGTTAACACTGTATGATTACCATCCATTCAAATCTAGTTGATCAATAAATGGTTTGTATAACATTGAATAAAAATATGTTAAATTTACTTTGAAAATGAAATGAAATAAATTTTGAAGTCTATGAGTCTTTTTCAAAGTAGAATTTTCAGATTGTTCAGAATATAGAACAGACAGGAAATGAAACTGGAAATACTTCCAGTGACATTTATTTGAATCAAAGTTAAGTAGATTAGAATAATGAAATAATTTTAATAATAGAATTCATCCCAACTATTTATTATGTCACTTATTTATTGACTTTGATAATTATTTACTGGAAACTTACTTTGAAAGACATTCTTGTTGAAACATGGTTTAGTGTAGGATGGATATCTTTATTGACAATGTTATTATCATTGTTACTTTCAACTGATAAATTATTTGTTATTTTTTTCCTAATAGAATCGTTTAACGATGAAGAGGAGTTGTGCGCTTGTTTTGTACTTTGATTAATCTGTTTATTATTCACTAGTACTACTGATCTGGTATCTGGTATTGATGAAGATGGACTTTTTGTTTGACTATCACTATCATGACATGTATTTAAATTAAAATCCTTTAAAGAAATTTAAACAAGTGCCAACAATTAATCGTGATAAATATTAACAATTATAATAGTATAAACCTTCCGTTTTTATTGTTCACTATTATTCACTATTATGATATGAGCTACTTAAAAAAGTGTCTTTGTATTATTCATATTAATAAGTTATTTATGACCAGTGTGGTGGTTGGTAGTGGAATCTCAGTGAAATATTGAAAGTGTGATTTAAATAAAACTTCCTTTCGAGTTGTAAACAAGATTAACTACATACACTAATTCCGATTGTTAGCCACTGTTCAATATTAAAAATCATGATCAATCTGAAAAAAATAGTAATTTTTTCAAATTGTTTCACTGAGATGATTTTACGTTTTAATACAAATAGATTTTTATATGGTAAAAAGATTAAGATTTTTTTGGAGAAAAAAATTTACTGATCGTTATTGCTGATAACATACTAAATAAAATTTTTACTCACTGGTTGAAGTCAAACTGGAGAAAATTTCCTATCTTTCCACATTTACACCTATGACGAACAGGTAACTATAAGCTAAATTTGGTTTTGCTTAGTTTAACAGTTATACATTTTTTTCGAATGGCTGAAAACAATTTAATGTAAAATTAAATTCTGTATGATGGACAAGTAACAGATAATGATCGACGTTATACTTTTGTCTTGTGTATGAACTACTCATCGAATAATCAATAGTAGATAGTATCACACCCCCATGTAATCTACTTTTGTTTCACTATTACATGTAATTCTAATCTGCCCAAATATTTTGTGACCTTGTGTACCAGTACGTTTCCTTTTGCTTATCATATTTACACCTTTAGTCCATATGTGTGCTTGACTTGTGTGCAAATCTATGAGCTTACTTATAAATTGTGTTTTTTAACTTGCATTTTATGCGTAGTTTATTTTCGTTTACAACATGATCCAAACTTAAATATTGCGATTGGGCTGAAAAATGCCTCTCTGTTCTGTATCTCTAGACAGCTCTCCAAATAAATGAATGGCTCAAATCTATCCTTCTGGTAGATTTTTTATATGGCTCTTGTTATCACCCTTGAAAAATGGGGTTAGTTTAACTATATCCAAAATTAATTGAGAAATGAATAAATCATCATCAATATCATTGGTGTCAATCAATCATTTATATTAACTTACAGAATTTTATTTTCACAGTTTACGAAAATCAAATTAATTATCATTTTTTACTTTACCTACCTGATAATGAGAAAATTGTGGATTAACTGGACGAAAAGTAGTTAATTCATTGATTAAATTTTCATTTAATGAATGTTTTTCATTTTGTTGCTTCTCTTTACCAACATTATAACGTTCATAAATTAATAGACAAAAATGTAAACGTTTCGTAATTGCATATTGATATGATGAACAATTATTCTTGTCACGTAGATATGGATTTGCTTTATAAAATTAAATGTATAAATATGCAGTGAAATTAAAAGAAAGGATAAGTGAAATGCGAATAAACAGATCATAAATTAGTGACATTATTTAAATAGTGCAATGAGAAGAAGGAGTTGATCTATCGAAATTTATAAAAGGGACTTATTTCCTTTAGTTCTGTTACAGAACTATCTCTGTGATAATAATGTCGGTCAGTTTTAAATAATCGAATAAGTAAACCGATGTTTTCGTATAGAATCTATGATATTATTAGATTGAGAAATCGATTAAGAAGTAGTAGTCGAAAACGTGACCATTATTTGAAATTAAAGGAATTATTGACTAACTGATTATTAAAACACTTTTCCAAATCAGAATGAATTTATTGGGTTTTACTTGAAAACCGTAACGGTGAATGGACTAACAATGTAAGGTCTATGTCCTTTTCCATGTGTTCCCTTCTTTTCTTATTTCATTTTGTACGTTATATTATACTACTTACTAATGATCAGTAATAACTTCCAATTCCTATAACTTTCGAGAGCATAGCATATTGTGTAATATTATAAGTATTGACAACACCTGATAGCATTCAATCTATTTATTATTCTAATTGCGTCTCTTTGGCACCTGTAACAGTTGCTTTGAGCTTTGATATACTCGTTTAACAATTGTTTTAGTGTAGAAATTTCCATTTTTGTGTACTTCCTTCTAATTTTTTTGATTGTTGTCTACACTTGTTCGTACTTTTGTTAAAATTATCAGTGTCAAAAATAGTGCAAAATTTGGAAGTTGTTCAGTTACTGCTTCAACTTTCTGAATACTCCAAAAATAATCCATCTATTGTAGAACTATACTACTAAATTCTGATATACTTCGAATCAGTTCAAAATAATTAATATCTTAATTTTTTTAAAAACAGAAATGAATGAAGCGTATTTTATAATTTCAGAATATATTTCTAGTATATTTAGTCACCATTGTTAATCTAATTCACAAATGATGTAGAGTCACCAAGTCTCATAAAAATATTTGTTTGATCGAACTTAAGCGAAAAGACAGAGTGAAATGACTGGATTAACAGGTTATGTTAAATAATCTATTAAAAAGTGTGCATGTTCAGTATCACCAATATGTAATATCAATGTGTACATGGGTAAAATATTGATGACTCAAAACAAATCTTCCTTTTCAAGTAATGAAATCTAACTAGTTTTAATTTCAGTCAGTCTATCTAATATATTATCTGGTCAGTTTATATGGTCAGAGGGCTATTGTTAATAGTGTGTTCCAATGACCTTGAATACTGATATGAATAGAAGTGTTGGTAGGTCTTGATATAAAACAGATATATACAAAGTTCCAATTATGCAAGCTGTCGATACAATTATTTAAAAAAATATTATACATGATAGTAACAATGAAACCTTTATGACTTAACAGTAAGTTAACAATATTTCCATGTCCATTTATAGTAGCTAAATGCAAAGGGGTACGATTCTCATTATTGAACTGATTCAACAGTATAGCATTCGGTTTATATTGAAGAATAATTTTGCATGCATTAAGAAAACCTAAAAATAATAGGCAGAAAAAGATTTTTCGATGATACGAGCATTGAGTCACTGATATAAGATTGTTGAAGATACAGTTAATTGACAATATTTAAAAAAATACGGAATGGATTAACTCAAATTTTACAAATATAACTGTAATCTGGTGGTAGTTTTTACCACTTTATTATAAAGGGAGAATAAAAGGCTGATATAAATAAAACCACAAACAAATAAAAACAAAAATTATTAGTCGTCATTAAAATAGACACCAAACATAGCTGATTATGTTCCAATGAAACAATCATTTTAATTTTATCGAAGTGAACAAAGTTCGAAAAACTAAACCATGCCATAGCAACTAGGTTGTTTGACAGCACAGTACTCAATGAAAGATTTACGTGTCACCAATTCAATAGTCAGTGGGGTTGTGGGTAAGCACTGAAGTTATGAGCTCTCGAACTACGACGATAGATAAATTCACTGCACGACTGTATTCAATCCTGCATTAGTTAAACTTATACCGTAATAAAAATTCATTTTTATACGAATATTAGTCAATATTAGAACGAATAGTTTGACAGAAATTTTGCACCGAGTATAGAGATGTCATTGTATGCGGAGTTTAAATTTGAAATAATCTCAGAGATTGAAATTTAAATAATTCCAACGTTTCGTCCAACAAACTTGTTTAGAATTCCTCAGGATTACAATCAAAATCAAAATTGCCAAATAATATATAATATTTAATAATCAAATTTTTATTTTGCTTATCCAATCATACTCAGATGTTGACTTTAGTAAGTAGGGTAACATGAATCAGTTATATGTGAATCATGTGAAACGTTCACAATGTTAAAATAAATGAATGAATAATTGTGTGTACGTATAAGTTTGAGTTATTAATAGTTGATATTAGGCGTTAATTTGTTTTATATGAAGTAAATAAAAGTAAAGGACCCGACAATATACCAGCTGAAGCATTGAAGTCATACATCGAAGTAACTACAAACATGCTTCACCTTCTGTTCAAGAAGATTTGGGAGGAGGAACAAGTGCCGATGGATTAGAAGGAAGGACACCTCATCAAGATTACAAAGAAAGGACATCTGAGAAAATGTGAAAACTGCAGGGGCACTACACTACTGACAGTACCAAGGAAAGTCTTTAACAGAGTGTTGCTGGACCGGATGAAAGATGCAGTAGACGCCAAACTTCAAGATCAACAAGCTGGATTCCGTAAGGGTCAGTCGTGCACAGACCGAATTGCGACACTACGGATCATCGTCGAACAATCAATTTAATGGAACTCGTCACTGTACATCAACTTCATTGATTATGAAAAGGCAGTTGACAGTGTAGATAGGAGAACGTTATGGAAACTTTTTCGACACTACGGAGTTCCTAAGAAGATTGTCAACATTATCCGGGACTCATACGACGGACTACAGTGCAAGGTTATGCATGGAGGACAGCTGACGGATGCATTCCAAGTAAGGACCGGAGTCAGACAAGGCTGTTTAATCTCTCCCTTCCTCTTTCTTCTGGTGGCCGACTGGGTTATGGAGACATCGACATCGGAGGGGAAACACGGAATACAATGGACAGCTCAGAACCAGTTAGACAATTTGGACTTCGCAGATGACCTAGCCCTCCTATCACATACACATGAACAAATGCAGATAAAGGCAGCCATTGTAGCAGCAGTCTCTGCATCAGTAGGCTTCAGCATACACCAGGGGAAAACCAAGGTCCTCAAATTCAAAGCGGAGAACAGCAATCCAATCACACTTGATGGCGAAACTCTGGAAGATGTACAGTCCTTCACATACCTGGGAAGCATCATCGATGAACAAGGAGGTTCGGATGCAGACGTAAAGGCGAGGATCGGCAAAGCAAGGGTCGCATTCCTACAATTGAAGAACATATGGAACTCAAAACAACTTTCAACCAATATCAAAGTGAGAATCTTCAATACGAACGTCAAGGCAGTTCTGCTGTATGGAGCTGAAACTTGGAGAACTACAACAACCACAATCAAGAAAGTACAAGTATTTATAAATAGCTGTCTACGCAAGATACTCAACATCCATTGGCCGGATACCATCAGCAACAGGCTTTTGTGGGAGAGAACAAACCAGCTTCCAGTTGAAGAGGAAATTCGGAAAAGACGATGGAAATGGATAGGACATACATTACACGAATCGTCAAACTGCATCACGAGACAAGCCCTGACTTGGAATCCTGAAGGGGAGCGGAAAAGAGGAAGGCCAAAGAACACATTATGTTGGGAAATAGAAGCAGATATGAAAAGGATGAATAACAACTGGAAGGAGCTGGAAATGATTGCGCAGGACAGGGTTGGATGGAGAATGTTGGTGAGCGGCCTATGCTCCTTCACGAGAAGCAACAGGCGTATGTAAGTAAGTAAATAAAAGTACAAGTTGAAGGTTGAAATTGTTTTTGTACAGTCGATGTTCGCGCAACATGAGAACTATCGAATATATAATTGTATTGCTAAAACAAACCACATTAATTTCAGTTAGAATATTGATGCATGTGAAATAAACAGGTTGGATAAAGAACAGGTCCAATTACTTGTTAACGAATATTTGCCAAGTAGTTGCTAGTTGAATACCAGCCTTTGTGTTCAGGCTGATCTTATTCGCCCATATATACAGCACGTCTGCTGTCAATCTTTCTTTATGTATTTTAAAACCTTTCTGAATTATCTTGGTTCCTTCAAAATTGGTCTTGTGTCCTGTTTCTAACTCCTGTCACGGTATCACCGACCTATTCTTATTTTTCTTCAGATCAACCGAGGATTCGGTAACATTTCTTAAACATTGTTTGTGTTCCTTCAACCTCACATTCAATTGTTTAGAAGTTTCTCCCACATAAGCTGCATTACATTTATCACAATTGATCGCATAGGTAATATTCTGTTGTTCTTCCTTTGGAAACCTATCCTTAACTTTCACTAATGCTGATCTTATGGTGTCACTAGCCCGAAAATACACTCTTATGTTTGTTTAGAATTTTCTTAAGTTCATCCAATGTTTCTCTACACTATGGGATGATCACGGTGGACTTCCAGTCTTTTGGTACACATTTTAATTTAGTTTTTTTTCATTTCTAATAATCTTTGAAAATTCTCTCAGGTAATTGTTAGCCGTAAGTGTAGACAAAATTCCATTCAGTTCAACGTGTTAGTCTTCTTTCTCCATAATCAGATCAATACTCCTGTTAGTTCATTTCGTTACAACTATGACTTTCGTACAATACACATGAGCCGAACCGTAATCTAATTATCTCTCAGAATGTGTTGATTTCCTGAATACATTAATTTTCAACTTATTGTCATGTCTTCTTTCAACCAAACAATCAAGAGAAGCTAGTTTTTGGTCAGTGGACTCACTTTCCTTGGTTAGCTTGATGCCCTCCAAAATGCTGTTTATATCTTCAAACACCTCTTCTGAACCACTTCGTTTGATAATGATGAAAATTTCATTTTCATATCGTAACCAAACTTTTGGTGGATTTACACATTTTGTGATCGCATTGGCTTTTAGGGAATTCATGAATATATTCTTTACAATGGGAGGAACTGGTTAATCCACTGCCATACTTTTTCATCTGTAAAGGTCTCATCGGAATGAGAATAATGTGGATCGTAAACACAATTCCAGACACTTGATAACTTTGGAAGAATCTAACAGACGTCGTAAATTCAAATGAGTCAGATTCTAAACAATTATAAATAATATCCAATACTCTATCAATATGTACATTAGTAAATTAGGAAGAAACATGAAAACTTGCCATCATTTACCCCTATTCTATAAGGATGGTATATATATTGCTCTTGAATTCAGTAAAGTTTTTATTTCCATAATTAATCAATTTGTCATATGGTGTGAATATCTTAGCTAAGTATTTCACTAGGTTATATGTCGGTGAATTTGTAAAATCAACCGCTGGTCTTAGTGGAGTACTATTCTTGTGAATCTTTGGTAGTCCATAGAATGTACAATGGTTTCAACTTTTTAGATATAATACGAACAATAATGACAGTCCTAGTTTCATTTTAGTCTACTGTAAGGTTTTACTAGATTCAGCCTTAAGTTTATCAGGTGTAATCCGGCTTTTCATTTCTTTAATTAATTCATAAAGGCCGTCTTGGAGATGTTCCCTGGATTTTTTCTTGTAGTCTGAGATGTTCATGATGACAGTCGTGTTCCCATTATCTGCTCTCGTAGCGACAATTTTCTTGTCGTTTCTTAGCTGTTTTAACGCATATAATTCTTTTTTAGTTAGATTAAACTGTATGTTTCTTGATGTTATAAAGTGACCAGTATTTTATTGCTCACAACATTCGCTGTTTCATTGGAATAGAAATTCAAAGCTGGTTTATTGCAGGTATAATATTGAATGGTGATAATCGTTGTCCATTTATTATTGAAATTAAGACGATTTCTATGCACAGGCATTTTGTGGGTAATTAGATTTCTATCTGACCAAAATTATGCGCCCAAGCGCACCAGATTAGGGTCCAGTGTGAGTTTCAACCCATAGAGGTGCAATGATGAGCCTCCACCCAGAGTCAGAGTATTCCCAATCATCCTGAACTAGGCGCGAGGTAAGCACAATAAATATTTGATTTGATTGTTAAATATTATATATTCTTTGATAATTTTGATTTTGATTGTAATCCTGAAGAATTCTAGACAAATTTGTTGGAGGAAACTTTGGAATTATTTAAATTCCAATCTCTGAGATTATTTCAAATATAATTTTCACAAATAAAAACTATTTTTAAAATCAAATAATCTCCACTAATTATTTAAAAATTTCCATCATATTAGAAGTTGGATGTGCCTGCTTGACTTAGTAGACAATTCTATAACGCGATGACGTTTGAAGCAAATGGTAGTGGGTTTGAGTTCAGGAGTGAATATCAACTCTGGGATGCTGGCGCATCCGACTGACAAGTTCTAAATAGGAAGCTTTTAATTTAAGGCAATATTGAGGCGATCCGCACAGGATACACATATGCCAATAAGAGACTGGTCAATTGCAGTCCTAGACATTAATGGGATGATTCATATAGCAATAAAAAATGAGTTAAATATTATGAGTATTTATAAAACAGAATCGGATAGTGAAGTCATTTCTTCTGCTGTCATATATCCATATAACGATATCTGAAATTGTGGAATGCACATGTTAAGTTCATAAGTTAACCGATAAAATGTAATTTTGACACCTTTCTAGAACCATGAAACTCATTAGATGACCAGTTTGAAGTTTACATAGTAGGAGAATAAATAATCATTTATAGGCAGAGTTGGATTGCTGGCTGGACAATACTCTTATAAATTCATTACAGACACATAGGTTATTTTGTTATTATTTGTTTACAGAGATTAATTATTTTAAAACAAAACGCTTATTGGTCAATAAAAGCTCATTTAAGATACATTTTCAATTGGGATTTGATATCGCTTCGTTTTAAACAAACTCTATCGTAATTTTTTAATATCAGTCAGATTTATCAAAAACTGAATAGAGATCGATGGAATAACGGTACTGAAGTAGTTCAATGGTGTGTGAAAATTTAGTGATAATATAAAGTAACTTCGAATCTCTGAGAAGGGCATCAGTTGCCCCGAAACTGCGAATGAATTTTGGCACGTTCAGGGTTTTCTTTTAGATACGTTCAAACATATACCTTTAATCAATAATGAAAATAATACATATGTTTGCCAAGCATTTTTGCCGATTTAATATCTACTTCAGTTCAATTGATTACATTTTTGTATTTGGTCATTTGAAGTGTTGTTCTGCTACAATTACGTTTTATTTTAATAGATTCCCTTTGTCATAATTCTACGTATCTGTTTGAATGTAAATAGAATTAATAAAGTCACAACTTTGGAAGTAACATAATTAACGTTGCCTACTCACAAAGGTATCAGTCATTGCTAACCAGTATGTCATGTAATGCAAAAGAGAGAGGTATGTCAAATGTATTCGTCAATCTCATAAAATTAAACAGAACATCACTTTGTATTATTTTGGAAAAGATCTTGCAAAGTTTATCATGTTTTGGTACTTGTTCAACATAATTTATGATCCTCTGACATCAGAGAAATACGTCACAACCGTGACGTTCACTTTTTCCATAAAGTAATATATTTTGTAGGAAATTTTATTTTTCTTTAAATAACTTGCCTTTCATTGCAGCATGATGAAGTGCATTTTGACCTTCTGAATCAACGTTTAATCCATACTCACTATTTGATAAATACTAAAATGAATAGTGTGTAGAAATTAATTTCAAGTGTTTAAACGACTATTAAAATAATAATAATAATAATAATAATAATAATAATAATAATAATAAATAAATTTTGTTTACCATTTTGGGATAAAATTTCTGTGGTAAAGTTATTCACAAGTTACTCAAGCAACAGCAAACAGATATTTTGACTTCATGATTATAATGACTTTTAAAAACGTTATTTTAAATAGGTATTGCACGAAGAAGATAGGTCATTATTATGCTCATATAGAAACTCTAAATAATGTATTAAGCATTTGTAATAATAGCTTAACTGGATTTAGATCAGTATTTAATCCAACCACAGTTTAGATATGTCGCTAAAATCGGACCTTCCAATCTGACATGTATTTAAGAGAGGTGTTAGACTCTTGCAAACCATAGATACCGTTTCTAATTTGTTGCTAGAAGTCACTGCTCGAGTATTTCATTTCACAACACACATAATATTTTGATGTCTTAAGCTAAAATACAAGTACAGAAACAAACCTATTCTCTTAAATTCTTATCTTGTTTGAAGCAGCTGAGGTTTAATTCTCCAAACTTTTGGAAGCCCCAGATCATAATGAATAATGATAATATCTGGTTCAGAGTTGACAGTGATCTATCAACTAGTAATCGGAAACAACAATTGTTTCGAGAACATTCATTCATGGTTTTCTCCCAAACGTTAACTGAACGATTCCTAGATGAAGTATGTTATTCGATATTATGGGAACTGAACTTAAGGCAAGTTTTAAACAATTCGGTTTTTTAATGGATTTAATGAGTAAAGTGAAAATATTTTATATAACAGTGGTTAAGTACAAGATATTAAATATTCAGAATAACTAGTGATAATGAACAGTCGGTTCAACTGCATGAAGATGATTTCATTTTTTAAACTAATATAACGTACACTGAAAAGACTTTTAACTGTAAGAAAAGTACATTGTATCCGACGGCCAGTGATAATAATTTATAACCCATTATGAATAAAATGACAAGCCTTGCTGAATAAACGTTCAAATTCTTAAGAACCATCAAGTACCGGTTATAGATTAGATACATCTCAGTGAATTTCGATAAACAATACTGGTGTCATGTATGATGTTAGGATCTAAAATGAACATATGATCCATGAATAAAAACTAGAGTTCAGTTAAACAAGCAAGAAGAATAAGAAAAGCTAGTTATTCAGGTTTATATGACAGTCTTTAGATACTTTATTTTATTTAAAAGTAACTATCAAAAATAAATAATATATTTGGGTAGAAAAATCAGTTTCTTGTCGTTCCTTTGTACTATTTAAACCTGAATTAATTTTGATTCGGTTATTCATTATCTGAAGAAGTGACTTACACTGAATCACGAAACGTCAGAAAATCTAATTTTCCTAATCATTTGGATATTTCAAATATACTAATTTATTTATAACAATCTACCCAATGCTCAATTTATTCGAAATTATCAAGTCGAACCTTGGTAATGATACCTATCTTTCAAGAAGAAAAAAATATGAATAAAGTGGTCATAATCCAGAGAACTATAAGCTTTTAATCAACTCACTATTTCGTTAGGGTGCTAAAAGGAATTTTGTTCACCAGATGTATCGTCTATCTAAATCCGATAATCTTTAATTTTACCTTCCTTAAAATAAAACAAAAATTCAACAAGTCGAACAGATGACCAATTTCGTTGCTATGTTTATCAGTCTAGAAACTATAAAGTTTTATTTTAAGGTTGCCTTTATTAAATAATCTTGTTTAATTAAAATAAAGTAATTCATTGATGATAATTAAGAGTTTCATGAGACTTCAGAATAGTTTAGAAATTTTGTTTAGTATTTGAATCTCTAATGGAATAAATATAAAATAAATAGTTTTAGAAACAATCAAAGATTATTTTCAGAAAAACAAGATAACTCACTTCTAAACATTTCAAACGATCATCTTTCAATAAAGAATGGTGTATTAAATGATAACCGCTACTATCATACATCCATTGTTTTTCTGGAACACTTCGAATTTTAGCTGCCTATAGTTTAATTAGTTAAAATAAAGGAATAATCAAAGTTTTAATGCATTCTAGTGTAATTTGATTTGATTCGCTAGGTAATCGTTCTAATTACAAAAATGATATGCATTTAAAAACTACTGGTAACTGAGATGAGCAAACTAAGAGTAGGCGAAATTTTCATACTTTTTACAAAACAGTAGGGAAATGAACCTACCTTCAACAAGATTACTAGGTTTCCTAATCGGTCCGACTGGCAAGCCCATATAATTGGTGTTAGACCATATTCATCACGAGCAGTAAGATCAGAGCCCTGTAGTATCAATGTCTAGAATGTATTAAAAAATATCATTACTACTGAAACTATAAGCTGTATTTTACAATATATTTTTCTACAAAAAGCTGAACAAACCTGAATCTGAAATAACAGAAGTGGAACAGGTCAATTGAGATCAGAGCTTAATTACAAGTTAAAGAAAGTAAAATAATATAAATATTGATGAGAGACGTGTTTTAAGTTTATTGTAATAGAGACTCAGAATAATTTGCCTTTGAACTATGTATGAATGTATCTTTTAAGAAAATTTCTTAAAAACACTGCAATTGTGACCATCACTTAAACAGACCGGAACATAATAATTGAAAAGTTAGACTACAGATTAGTTTTCTGTGTTCATCAATGTAGTGTGAACCAAATAGGAAATACTACCGTCGATTCGGATCCATATGGCATAATGCATTCTTAATTACTAATACAAAATTTAGCTCAAATCTCTGATGAAAAAACGTAACTGTAAGACTAATCCATTGAACTGTTAGAGAGTGCTTTTACAAATTTTGAAGTCATTAAAATTATGTAAATGAAATGATGTCATTTCAGGATGTTAAAGATAACTACTTTGTAATCTACGTTAAATAATTTCTGGACAGTGGAATCAGAAATGTTGTCTTAGAGTAGAAAGTGAAGTAACTGTCAAAATACTTTGGTTTTCTTATTAAAATGTATGGAGAACATACCTGTCTGTATTCAGGTATCATAAGTATTAGAAATGTACATCTAAGCTGTCTAAAAATGTCCTGTCTGTTCAGAATATCACAAATTCTGAAAAAAATCCTCAAGAGCAGATTATCACACTTTTACCAATAAAGGTAAAGTAACAAATGTTATGTGATAATATTACAGACAAGTTTAATAAAATGTCATTTAAGCCTTAGCTTTACAGAGTTCGCCGATCTTTTTGTCAAAGAAGAGCAGTCAGTGAGTTTACGTAATAATGGTATGTTTTGGTCTAATTCTTTGCTTTCGGTCTACCGGAAATTTCATTTCTGAATAGCTACTCCATCTGATGGAGCTCGTAAAAACCTGAAGCTTTAAAATATTGTATTCCCTAAATGTCAATAAGGACCTCCGTCAATAATATCTGTGACAGTAACAATCTATCAACAACTGCTACTAATTAGAATTTAATTGAAGATATAAATTTATGGCTAAAACACAACTGAACTGAAGAGTTGAACATTGAAAAGCATTAAAACTACCGAAATCTCTCATTCGGTATTTTAAGCAATGACGTAATATTTTAGTTCATAATATTTTAATCGCTGAAAAATTCCCATTATATTAAAACACAAAATTGTGTGTTTCATAATATTTGTGCTCGACTAATTTAATCAAACTATACAATTTTATATCATCATTGAGTACTATAGTTGACAGACTCTGTATTTGTCTTGTCACAAATATAAATAAACAAATCATTTTAAAATCAATATATATTTTCTCTGCACTCTTCTTCTGCATAATCTACTCAAAATATGTTAGCTTGAATTTTCTATCTAATTTAAGATAGTTAATTGTAGAAGCAATACTGTAACTATAATCATTCGAAACTAAATAACCCTGTAAATATAGAATTAATTTTAGTTAAGGTTAACCATTTTGTGACCTAAAATCAACCTGAGCACTAAGATTATTGACTCATGCTGACATAAATCAATTCAAATAAAGTGTTTATTAAAGTTCTTCACGTGTCTATAAATACAAATATTTAATAAGTTATTTAAGTGGTACTTCAAAGTATATTTGGAAATGAATTCGATCCATCTAATTTATAATAAAAAATGTATTTGTATGAAATTTATTACTTAGTACTTTTGTATTGGTCATTAAGAATTAGCTGGAATGAAGTCATCTTGCTTCCATGAAATGTACATTAACAGTAACAAATATTTCGATGTATTATGCTTAAAATTTGTTTACGAATATTGGTATTTTCAGAGAGAGATATAATATGTTTTCTTGATTAAATTTATTTCTGAAGTTGGTTTTTCAGGTGAGAACGTTTCCAAGAATTTTTTTCACATATGGCTTTGATATATTTGTAAACAATCAAAATGAGGTTCTCAACCTAGGTTTCGTTTACAACGCAAACGTCACTGGTAAGGGAAATGTATCTGTTATCTTGAGAAACCTGATGCTACTAATGAGGTATGAATTCTAGTTACCCACGTTGTAATTTAGCTTTAGCAAAAAAGTTTTTCGGCAGTTCCAGGTTTTCCATAGTTGTTTATCTTAAAGCAATTTGTAATTACAACAAATTCCTTATTTTGATCGAAGAGGGTCCTGGGTTCGAATCTCGCGAGGCGGGGTCGTGGATACGCACTGCTGAGGAGTCCTATACTAGAAAGAAACCGCCGTACAGTGCTTCCAGGTTTTCCATGGTGGTCTAGCATCAATTAACTCGTGAATTCAACTATTAAATTCCCTATTTTAGCTGAATAAATCAGAAAAAAATGCAGTGGACATTTTGTATCCTTGAAAACCTTACGGTTTAAACATATACATGTACGGAATTACGCCATTTCTTATCTTAGATTCTATTGTTTTAATAGATTGTCAAAAATGTCATCTTGTAGTGAGTCTGACGGTTGATCATGAAATTTAAGACGTTGAAACACTCGCATAAAAATACAGTCTGTCAGTTCTGTTCAACGTAGAGCACGTCACGTATGTGTATATATTCAAATGGCTACACAAAGTTTGCACCGCCGTGAAATCACCAGAATGAATTCCATAGTAGTAAAGTCGGTAAAATTAGCAGGAGAAAAAATTATTCGATATGGACTATATGATTCTGAGTGAAAGGAGTTCATGGGATCAATATATATAATTTTGAAGATCAGCATTAAAGAAAGAAAATAAGTAAATGCACCTAAGTTGTTGTGAACTATGTTATGCAATTTCTAAAACCGTTGGTACCGACAACCACATCTACCCCATCCAAGTGTACTTCTCTTACCTATATGAATCATTTGGACATTCACTGCCTTCATGGATTGGTATTATGTCTGAGTCTATTACCTTTAGTTTTCTTCCAACCAACTACCACACCACACAACATTACTTATCAAGGTAGGGGATGGATTTGAATTCCTAATACCTGTTTTGTTCATCTTAATCATCGAAGGCCCGCAACGTCAAGAGTCGACTTCCGACACTCAACTAGTATCTTGAGTTTAGTTACAGCACTACTCACACAACTGTCCGAACACACAGAACCCATGTATAGAAGGAAGCAATTATAAAATAATAGTAATCTATCAATATCTACTTTTGAAAGCAACTTTTTAAAGCTAGAAACTTAACGGAAACGAGCTGGTGTACAATGTCCTTGTTTTTTAATTGGTAGACAAATGTCTCCTACGTCATAAGAGGAGTACAGTTGCAAAAGCTTACCAAACTTTCTGAATCAGTACAAAAAGTTCACCAGACGCTTAATCCGACAAAGCGTGATTATTTGGTCTACACACTCATACCCAAGTCTGAACTTATTCTGGTTCATCCAGGTTCACTCTTCACGAGACTAATATCTTAGACACTAGATTATTCATATTAATTCCTCTTCGGTTATATTGAAGTCAGTCTGTCATTTTCCATAAAATGGAACGATCAGCGGTTGAGACTAGTCAGATGGGTTTACGTCCAGTTCTCATATCCTAGTCAATATCTCAGTCAGCTTAAACGCGGAAATTGTACCACCATACTTAAAAACCTCGAAAGTTAAATGATCAGGTCATTCTCCTTTCCCTTGTTTTGAATTAGCGATGGGCTTTTCAACTTAATCTGAAGTCGAAACATGATGCTGACGTTCCATCCAGGATAGGAAGAAGTCACTTTGATAATTACTCAGTCATAATCATTGTAAATATCTCATTCCTATAGGCAGTCAGTTATAGCCCTAAAAACTGGGAGAAGCTGCTTCAGGCTGTAAAGCAACGTGATGGGCATTAGAATCTAGCGGGTAGCTTTAGTTTTATAAGAATTTCACTCACAGCTTTCTGAAGCGTATCAACCCAAATGAAACCCATGCTTAAATTTCTCTATCAACTACGTTTGACCATCCAACACATTTTCTGGGAAGATTGAATACTCTTAATGAAACGTTTATTGGCAATCATTGCTATGTATACAAGAAATAATTGGTCATGTAGAAGAGATATTGGGTTTCTGTGAAAAGATCATTTCCTGTAATTTTTTCTTAAAATGGCTTTTACTGGTGATTGTGCTTGTTTTCATTCATGAATGTTATCAGCTTCATTCATTTCTTGCATGAGGCTTTTAAACAAATCTGCAATGATTGTATATTATATTTAGCCCATTAGATACCAGACTTTAGTTTTGGTCACCTACGCGAGAAATTTTCACATGGCTGTCAAAACAAATGACTAAGGGCTAAATGCTACTCTTACATTTTATGACGCTAGTATTTATTGCTGTATGACGATTTTTCTGTTTTAAAAAAACGCAACTATATCTTTGCTGATAGTAGTACGTACCGTTTAGCAGTGTGAATTCATTTTTCGAAACGTTTTGGCCTTAGCTTAGAAGCATCTTTTCCAGTTTGAAACTGGTGGGTGGATGTACTAAAGATAAGCTAACTTTAATAATAGCCATCGCTTCATTACATCTAATCTACGTCGCACGTAACCTTCTGTAGAGCGGCTAACTGACTGCTTAACTATAATAATAATAAAATACACGTCTCTTGTAAGAAATCTTTACCGACCTGTTTATATCCGTGAAATAAAGTTTTTAAATTGTAAATACCATTACTGTTTCAATATAATGTTACTCTATATAATCTCGGTAGTTACAAACATGACTGTACAGATACAGAAGATAGTGTGTAAATTATACTCTTTCCTGGATTATTTTGGTGCATAGGCAAAAATCGTATACCACGATCTAGATAAAATCATGCAATTTATTACACCGTCATAAAATATGTAACCATTCACAGTTAATGGTTAAAATCACTACAACTGAACTAAAATTCATCTTGAAGATGTATTTACAACTATGAAAAAGTCAATATCAAGGAACCTCACTTTCACGACACTGAAATGGAAATGTTCTAGTTCAAACTCAACAGTAAAAGATATTTGAGAATGCACATTTGTTGTAAATGTTATCAAAGAATGGTATTTGAACAAAGGACCTTTTTAAAAATAAATTTATTCACTGTTTTATGGCGACCAATGATTGTCACTTATTGTACGAGGAATGAGGTATAATAAAAAAAGAACTGCATTTATAACATACTTGAACACATGTCTGTGAGCCCCAATAAGCCGCATAGTGAAGACTAGTTTTCTTTCCACTTCTCACAAAATTCCTGCTTAATTCATTTTGCTTTAGCTTAAATACAATTTCATCTATTTCTCCGTCTGTTTAGATGAAATGATATTTAAAATGGGAGACTATAATTGAATAATAATACATTTTTTAATAAACACATGATTAAAATACGAAAACGTTATAATGAGAGGGGAAACAGTAAAGAGAAGAAACGTTCAGTGATCTGTTACTTTACTTTAATCCCTACCGTTTTTTGATTATTGTTCGGTTACCTAATCCACAGTAATGACTCATTCATATTCAATAATTTCACGATTTAATCAGTACATTTGCCAAAAGTTATTGAATATTTAATAGTCCTGATGCTCCGCTGTTAGATGAAATTTTATCCGCGTTTTACGCTCTACATTTAAATAAACATTCGACCAAATCATTGCAAAAGCATTAGGTTCGAAATATTTTTCAACTAATATTACTCAGTCCATCTAATCGAGAATAATAGATTTCAGATACCTAGGTAGCAAGTCATCAGCGAATTAACATATCAGCTGGTATATATTTCGTAATGGCTGTGCTCGAAAGATAAGTGATATCTCCATATTTTTGACCACTAATAAGTTTTTCAGTGTTGGATACGTGTCTTATTAATGACTATGGTGATAAAAAGTATAAATTCGTGGTTTTTAGATTAATTTGGTGATAAATTCTATGTTACAGACAAACAACCTATGATCAAACAATCTAAGCGATACAATGACTTATCACCATACATCAAAGTTACTGTCTGTAGGCACGTATAAATTCCAGAACACTATAGTCTCCAGATTATTCAGAGTTGTGGCAGAACGGTTATTTAATTACAATTAAAATGTCTAAAAAATTTGGTTGGAAAACTATTTGTAAACTATTACCTATGAGTCAGGATAAGCGCCATGCTGATTAAAATGTTCTAGGGCTGATGTTTATTCCATTGCTCTCGAGGATGACAGAAGAAATATTCCCATATCAAACAAAAGCTTTTTACCTAGCATCCTGTAAACATGAGCTAAACGGCCATCGGACGTGAGTGTCCATTTGAAGTTAAGGCATTGAATCAGTGCAAAAAGCAAATAGCAACGTATCGTTAATAGGGACAGTGTATTAGAAAGGAAACAAAGTAAGACATTTTCCAAACTTCAGATTCCTAAAGTTTACATCATTAGGTAATTTTACTTGAAATGTTAATAAGTTAAACTAACAAAAAGTTGAATTCTATATCAAATGTTAAGGAGGCTTTGAAATCGTACATTATCGTGACAAAGTGTACAAGGCTACGTATTTGGTGATTATGTAATGACACCAACTTAACCAAATAAGAGTTCATAAATCAAAATCAACTAAATCTTTACTGCTGGTTTTCGGCAGTTCTTTATGTCATCTTAGTCAGCAATCAATTCCAACATAAAACTAACCAAACTGTACATTCACTTTCAAATCAGTTGGTTTCAAGTCTTTTATGCCTATATACATCGTTCACTTATCTTCATATTTACATACTTAACTTTCCTTCTGCTTAAGAAGGACGCCCAGATGAATCTGATCGAATTACTTGAAAAATAAAATATGCTAACCTTATGGGCTATTGATTAAATGTCATTATCTCGGATCGTGCATAAATATCTAAATTTCGTAATGCCGTGGATAAAATGTATATGGAAACATAAAAATAAGTAGTGCACTACCTTGTAGTTTTTGAATGTCGTTTCCATTGGGATCATCGGGTAAAAGACCTGTATAAAAATGGTCATAAGGGAGGCATAAAGAACAAAAGTCTAAGTAGTATATAATAATTAAATGCATGACACCAACCCTTCGGGATATGTGGAGTATCGATGTCTGAGCATGGGGTTGAAATTTCTCGTTTGCATTTCACAAGGCTGCTATCCGTCTAAAATGCCGAGGGAATTATCAATCGATAAAACTTTTCGTACGAATTTTAAACATTTTTTAGACTGAAGAACCACGTAATTGATTGAGTCCCTCAATTCAGCGAAAATCGAGTCACTTGGGATGGTAGGGCTGAAAGATTTGAGTTGTTGTAAGATGACTTTAAGGCTGTCTTCTAGCTTTGAGCGGTCATTCATTCGTCTCTTATTTTTGTTCGTTCGTCAAATTCAATAACCTGGAGAATGAGTTCTCTATTGATAGTCCGTCATATTTTCCTAAACGGGAAGTTATATGTAAAGATCTAAAAACGTTAACTATCAGAAGCAGCAATCGAATGCGCGAGGTTGAGTGAACAGTAGAAATAAAGAGGCTTTTCATCGAACCATATCACTTGGAACGAAGAAAATTACTGGACCATATAAAAGATATGATTAATAGAATAAAGATATAGATGCTAGTTTGTATGTAATCTATAAGACATGACAAAAGTAAGAGACATTTCTTGACGTAATTGTTCAGTGATTATTAAGACGATAAAGTTTAATCGAAAGGAATATACATTTAGAATGTTAAATGAACAAAGACAATTTGTGTTCAGTGGGAAACCCCAGATGAAAAAACTACTGATATATTTTAAAACACATGAAGATTATAAAACTATTTTCGCCGAACATCAACTAAGTTGGTGGATCGTGGAAACACATACAGATAATGAAAAATAGACGAACGACCACTATTCATAAACAGTATGACTGTGAAGAATCTAAACAAACAGGTCTCGCTCAATCTCACCACGAGAACGTCTTTAGAATTAATATTGAAAAGCGAGTTGTAATGAGGCTACCTCACTTAATATCATTTCACAAGTCAGACAACGTCTTCTATTGTCAAAAATATAGGCGATAGAACGGCGTTTAATTAAACGACTGAGTCACATTTTTCAGCCATGCTAATTCCTTAATATTGTTCTTATGTATTAAATTTTGACTCTCCAACTTTAATACTTTTACATTTTTGAATCAAAAGACATTGTATCGTCAACTTAGTAAATATTATGAATTCCAATATGTGCCTCGTTATTTCAACCAGATTTCGTAATTTCGAATCTATGTATGACATCAACATTATTTTGGGCTCGTCACTAGATTCCTGCAAGCCGTTTTTATTAGTAAAGTGGAAAGATTAGCAATCAAAGGAGCTGTCATCTCAACGACGTTTTTGAAATAACTTGGTTTTTTACCGATAGGACCTAATGAGACACAGCCAAGTCGTGTCTATTCGTCTGGGTAGCCATTTTGGTTGATTTTTACCTCGAAATCCATCACTCAACATGAGCGATTATGATCTCCATCAGCCATAAAGTGGTTATAGATGAATTTCCAGTGAAACTGGTTTCGCTAGGGCTTGTTTCGTGCAGCTAATTAATGTAAGGATGCCACAAGTATTTGTAGTTTGACAACACTTTAACCAGTAACTCCTTCTAAAATGAATCGTATCCACCCAGTGCAGTCCAAAGTCAGAAGCGAGGAGGTTTGAAAATATATTTGATGGGCTATCAGTATATGGAGAAGCGACTGATTTAAACTGGCTAGTGGTTGCGGGAGAAGTTGAGCATTTTGTTCCCACTCGTGATTTAGTGTGTACGCATGACAGAGCGCCTTCAGCTAGGTGAGTCCATTAAGATTAATGTTGTAAGCATCCAATACTGAAGACTTACAAAATTATTGTTTTTGTGGATTTACTTACAGCTACGACCTTGAAGCTACCTCGAGATAATATGAATCTATCGCGTTGATTAAGTAAATGGACAAAAGAAGATCGGTAATAACCTAGGCTGATTGATTATAAGTTGGCAGAAAACATCTGGGCAATGTCAAACCCTTACAGCTCATGCGTTCGTTTACTTCCTTATTTTGTATATGCACTATGTGTATTATTATTTATACTGAGTATTGAAAAGTTGGTGCTTGAGAAGGAGAACATCGCGCTCCAACTGCCCTGATTCATGGTCTGACTAAAGACCTGTCCAGCCACTTATCTGGTTTTTCAATATATATGAAGGGAAGTAACCACTGGCAAAATTTAAGGATGAACCTTTCAAAATCCCACATCGTGTATATCAGCAAACAGTGTACGTTACTTGTGACACTTATTCCTCACGAACATCTACAGATCTTGGTACATGTTACCACCTGCATAAACACTATCAACAGATGACGTTGCTTAAAAATTCACTACGCATCATTCCCCCTGACAAAGTTGTCTGTTATTGTCGGCATCTCTTTGATTACTCGCACCAAACTCACCTCATTTACAAAGGTTTAAAACCGAGAGTGACTCAAGAACGAGTTCAGGTTGAAATTCCTTTCTCTTTACAACACCCTCATATGTCTACTTAGAATTGTTTTATACTGTTTAGAATGCACCTGGTTCCTCAACCTCAAAAGCACAATATAATGAACCTTTGTGAAAATGGTTGAATCTTTCAGAGACAATTTGCATACGTGAGATGTGAGAGGCCACTGCAGTAAAGTTAAATGCACAGGTAAACCATATCCCAACCTCAAGATTGTTTCAACTCAGTGACAGATAAATGTGAGTTTCTTCACCCGTGTCAGTTATATCGGTGCTGACGTACATCGCTTCACCGATAGTCACGTTTATTTCTGACCTGAGTGTATATCTCGTTAAGCTAACTAAACATGCTAGATCTTAGTCCCCTTCGGAACCTTTAAAATCCAAGACTGATGTGCTTCAGGATGCCACGGTCAATGATAGACTCATAGTGGCGGTCCCATGAGTACAGTAATTCTAAAAAGTATAACAGCAAGTGGTTTTCTTATGATACAGTCAAAAACTTTCGAAATGGCATAGAAGAGGTACTCAGTGGTACCTTTTCATCTGGTGCGGACAGTTGAAGAAGCCCAACTGTCACATTTTGAAAAACATCCCTATCAGTCAAGAAGCAACATCTAGCTCCAAGAATAAAGAAGTCTCAGCTCAAGTTTCTTCAAAGATAAGGAATTAATGATTGTTCATTGAAAAGGTTCATGAAACCAACAGGGGTTAGGCAGTTGTCAAGAGACCCATCATCACCAAGCAGTTAGTTATCATCCTGGACTCGAGAAGAATATGCGATCAGTAACTGTAGATAATTTAAAAGAAAAGCAAAACATGGTTTTTAAAAAAACAGAAAATCTCAGTTGTTACACAGAAAAACCGAGTAATACAGTGATGGATCACTCAATACCTTTGGAGATATATCCCTTAAAACAACAGGGATTCCTTGTGTTCTACAGTCGTCGATAGCGATGTTCCTATTGTGTCTAAACCATAGTCGTCGAACTAAAAAAATTGTCATCGGTATCCATCTTTTCAGCCAAACAGGCTCTTCTCATGCTAATAATGTTATTTTTCCTTCTCTACATTCCAATAACATCAACGTCACAATTACGATACGCCTGTTGTTAATCATTATTCACGCCGAAACGTCTCGTTTATCTGACGCACTCTGGATGAAGTATAAGGTTTTTGGAACACGTAAACTATCATTGAGCGTACGACACTGAATAACGTTTATTTTTGTCGCATTTGTTTGTATCTTCGCACCTAAGTGTTCTTTATAATATGCTCATATATACGAACATTAATTTTCGTAAAAAATCAAGAACCATTGTGCAAAATTTTTAACGCCATCGGATATTATCTGTTTATGTGTCTACCAGTTTTTTTTCTCGTTTTTACACGTTTCGTTTGCTTATGCACGTAAGAGTGTATTTCGAAAGGAACTTACAATTTCTCGATTTTTCCACGACGGATGCAAAAGGTAGGAAACCGACGAGGAATACGATAAGTAGAGCTTTTCATCACACATTTTTTCACCGGCACATTTAACACATGGCTCGTCATATTAGAGGAAGACGTCCAGATGGTTTTGGGCACAGCAAGCTATCAGAAGGGAGTTTATCGATGACAAGCTTGCTGAATCTAAACTGGATGGTCACGTCTTACGTCGTCACTTCACCACTAAAAAAGGGCGGGCAGAAGCGGTAAATAAACCCCCAAAATAATTAGTTCCGCATGTCTTCGACATGGATGCTAGCTGGAGACGCCCGGTCATGAATCCACACCAGATTACTAATAAGCACGTGATGCTACGCTTCGCTTACCGCTAGCCAGCTTAGATTAGACTCATACTGATATACCGATAGCCTTTCAAAAAATATCTTCGAACCTCTTCATTTCTGACTGCTGACCTGACTGGATTAGTATACTTCGATTAAAAAGGTGCTTCATGTAAAGGGACTATCAAAGCTCGAATATCTGCAGCACTTTAAGCTTCCTCTAAATTGGTGATTATGACTCAGGATTCATGGCACTTTACTCTAATTTGACTTATCGCTCCAAACTAACTGCTCATTGTTGCTCATTCTTCGTAAGTAATCGTCTGTTGGCTTTTTGCTACCCCAATAGCACAGACTATATATCATCACATCACAAAATCGTTTTCAACTACTTCAAATTATCAAATCTGAATGGCTGATGTAGAAGTCTTTAATTTGCTACATAATTCCAATTTTTAAAGACGATAGATTGTAAGCAGTATGCAATGAATGAAATGGATGAAATTCATGCTTTTCTTTTCAATTCTTTATCACCAAATGCTTTGATCTTGTTTAACAAGCCCGATTCATAACTTGAATGACTCCTAAAAGCCTTCATATGAAGTGACAATGATTACGATGCAATACGAATTCTTGCATTCTTGACGTAAGCTAAATAATAAATACTCAATTAATAAATTCACTTCGTATAGTTCGCTTGTATCTTTGCATAGTGAATATCAACTTCGGTATGCAGGCACATTCAGCAGACGAGTCCCGAATAGAACGAAAGGCGCGTCCTGGATCCCAATGGTATTTAGCGCCCATCTTTGCTTACATTATTCAAATATTATACCAAGCAATTGGCTCAAGATGTTTTTGTAAACGAATATGTTGTTGGCCTTCTGCTTGCCATTGGTAGAAACAGAGCACACAAAGCACCTCAGAATGTTGTTTGACCGCTTAATAATATTACACCATTATAAAAACAAAAAGAATTGGATTTAGAGGAACAGCCCAGTTGTTATTGATTGATATTGAAACGTTCAATAAATTACACCAACTGAGTAGAGTTCGTACTTAAGAATTTCAGTCGTGAACAAATGGTGACATATCAATGAACGATTTCCACTAAGTGGTTGAATGAACGCATTATAAATTACGTACTGAAAAAAGCTGTTTAAGAAACATATGGTTATCCATAAGGACTAGGAAATGATACATATCCATTAATCCGCGGAGAATCTCTTTCTTAGTGTTCAATACGCGTGAATATCAAGGATTTTTCTTTTGAATTAAGCTGCTGAATTTTGGACACGAAAGGATAATTTTCATTGGAGATTTCATTTCAGGTTCTTATCTACCTTTTCCATTATGGAAGTTGGGATTCACTACAGCAGCCTTCTCTCAGGTAACATTTAGGTGACTATATGTAATTTGAATAAATTCCACAGTGAGAAGTTCATCCTTATATGCAGCTCCGGACGATAAAGTACTGGAAAGTACCAGTAATCACATAAATACTGCACATTACAAAAATTTCCATCCGCGCAATAAATATTGCAGGATTTTATTTGTCTGTATAAAAGCTTATCTGAACAAGCCGCATTTTTGTCTCGCACAGAGTCTCGGCAGGTCTTAAGTTGAAACAGGTAGTATATATATATATATATATATATATATATATATATATATATATATATATATATATGCAATTGGCGCAAAACGGTAAAACAGTAAGTCAAATTACGATGAGAACCACAGAAACGTGACTGTCGAACGTTAGGACGGCTTAACAAGATTAAGTCAATGTGTGTTATGTTAACATGAAAATGGCACGATTCCATGATTGGTATGGTTGAGACTTATGAAGTCATATGAGAATTTATCCTTCCTAGGATCATTTGACACCAAGAAATACCTACAGCTGCCTTTTAAATTAAGATCTGAGCTCCAGGAAATCGATTCATCTAAAGTAACATTCCACAAAATCACACATATGTTCGATTCCTGTCTTATTTTAAGTTTTACAGTTATTTTTGGTCTACTTAGCTGATATACACCAAATATTCATTAAAAAGAGGGCCAATGAGTATATGACATGGTTTTGAAGCAACGTTGTTGTGTAATATGATAATCTGTTCAAATGAATGGTTTGCGTTAGGTTGTGTCGATTTCAGCTTTGGAGTAACGGTGTTAAGTTGAGTTTGACCTTGAATCCCGTTGTCACGTTTTACTTGGGTCGTAATTAATCAGGTACGGGGAATCAAATGTGTTTTTCTCTTCCAATTGATTTACTGAGATATTATGAGTGTTTAGATGTTGCCAAATATCAAAGCCTTGAAAACCAGCTGCTAATCAATTCAAGTGATCAGAATCTTACGACTAACGATGAACAGTGAATTAAAAAGGCGAAAAGTAACACATTTCTTCGATACCTTAGCTCACCACAATATGGTTCTTTATCACAAGTTACAAATTCTCGTGTTTTAAGAAAAAATGTGAATCTAAATGTCCGTAAATTAAGGAACTTACGTTTGAAGAAAATGTCTAAAACGTCTCATTCTGTTATTGCTCCAGGAACATGAGAAAAATTGGTTGTTTTGACGAATGAGGTTTAGAACTGTTAGAATTTTGATATGTTTAATTCAAAACAAAAGTTCATTAGATCACCACTGTTCTCAATTCAGTGTTAGATTACAGAAAACAATAATTCTTGATTATTAGTTGTACTCAATAATCTTTTTTTTCATCTGCCGCTATCGGTTGTTTGGTTTTGAAATCATATAAATGTGATTCGTATAGCTGACTATGAATTTTCTTTGAAAATAATACTGTCACATAAATACTGTAATCCAATAAGTAAGATAGGTATATACTTTATTTCAGGTAAATGTTTTCATGCCAAAAAAGATCTTGTTATTCGAACATGACAGGCTGGTCACATCCTTTCTACATCTTGTTCGGCAATCGTATAAATATGTATCTAAGATGTTGGAGAGCATTCACGCAACTAATCTATGAAATAATGCTGGAACCTAAAATATTAAAAGAAAACTTCTTACGTCTGTACCGTTCGGAACAATCGCAAACCAGTTCACAACCGATGGATGATAATCACCTGTCAATTTCAGCATGTGACCACATCATTTACTTGAATGTAGAAATTACAAGCCTAAACCCTCGTACCTAAATCCACCAATTATCAGTTCATTATTCTCAAACCTAGTCAAATTAAGACGTGTTTCAGATTTCCATTATATTTCGAATTTCAAGCAATGTAGTGTTTCTTTTAATGGTGTATAAAAATCAAGTTACAGTTTTTGGAGAGCTTTAACACTGTCTCTTAAAATCTATATTAGCTCAATACGTAAAGTGGTAATAATGTGTTATATTTTACCTTGCTTCAAAAGTGTGATTATTACTTGGTCTTCGCTTTTGGAACTGCTCAACTCCTAGCCTGTAGTGTTCTACAACTATTCATCGATGCAAATAAATAGTGACATGTAAAGCTTTCTTTTTCTGCTTTTTTTTAAAGTGCAGTCATTCAAACTGATAAACTTTTATAGAAGAGTTTCATACTACCTCATTTCCAATCGACGGATCAATAATTATTGTAAAGCTTAGAGTAAGCATAATCTCGAAGCCAACCTTATTTTGAGTCCAATTAGATACTAAAATTCGTAATAATTTCAAAAGTAATTTTATCCCGTGAACGCATATTTTCTTCTTGAATCATATCTAGTATGCTTAATTACTCATTCTACCACAAATAGTTTTATTACATGTACAACTCTGGCATCTCTGGGCTGATGTGCTGTTTCTATTTCAGTCAATTCACGTATGTGCCTCGTTTTACGTTATATGTGACTGACTGATTGACTAACACTGCTGGACGCTAACCTTAATTCGCTTGTAAAGTGTTTTCGTTTCTCTTACTCGTAAACCTTTAGACAACAGAAGATTATTGAATTCTGTGTTCACATAAACAGTGATATATTATAATTTTTTAATCAGGCTTTTAAAGTGATCTGAATCCCTTTAATTCACCATTTATATGCTATTGCTAATAAAAATTAATTTAAAGTGGTTTTGTATGCATCTAGGCATCCGAATGCTCGTTTAAGAGCTGCAGTGATCTGTAAATGGATAATATGAATATACACACCATCGATAGTAAGACTTCTTCACGGAATTCAGTGAATTTAGACAGAAGTCGTTCAACCTTATTTAAGTAAGTGAGGTTCAGACGATAGATTTACCCATTTTGAGACATCAGTGTATTTCTATTTAATTTGTTTAATTTACTATTGGTCTGATCGTGTGAATATGTACTTGCTTCTATATATTAACTAACTCGTTAATTTTCATAACCTCATACATTATTGGGGTTTCTTTCTCTTATCGTTCATCTTTTTTGGTTGCACTGACAATGTAAAGTTCTAATTGTGAGGCGGTGTTGCTATCCGATTCACTTATCACAACACTTTTTTTAGTAATTTACTCAATTTTTAAATAACCAATCAACTTGTTAAACGGCTTATAGCCTCGAACTAAAACGTCTATCTTTATAGCAAAATGAATATTATTCGGTTGTGCCATTTTGTTTGAATAATCCTCATGGGAAAATAGGGTGTAACTCAAACTATCATAAGATCACTCTACCAGACGATCTCAATAATTTAACTAATATTTCCAGTGGGTTATCTGTTTTATTTTATGTCCCAGGATACCCTTCAGTGTCTGATCACTTGATAGTCTAACTTGAAAGGACTACAATTGCATTCTTTTCATTGCAAATATATACAATCTAACTGTGAGTTGTTTTTGGTTAGGAGTTTCGTATTACTTACGTACTTACTCCTGTTACCTCTCGATAGAGCGTAAGCCGCCGATCAAGATCCCTCAACTAAGTGTTTACTGGGCTCCTCTTTTCACCTGTTTTCAACTGCTATTGATTATCATGATGTCTGTTTCTAATTCCCGGTCCCATTCGCTATTTTATATTCCTTTTTTCCTTCTCCCTTCAGAATTTCAAGTTAGGGCATGCTTTGTGATACGTTTTAATGGTTTCTATGCACTGTAATCCATTTACCTTCAGAGTCTATTTCCAGTTTCCTATTCATCTGGAAGTTGGTTTATCCTCTCTCACAGTAGGTTGTTGCTGGTGGCTTCCGACCAACGGATATTCAGTATCTTGTGTAGACAATCGTTTATAAATACGTGTACTTTTTTATGATGGTTGCAGTAGTTCTCGAAGTCTCAGCTCCGTACTTGAGAACTCTCTGGACGTTTGTATTGAATATTCCGACTTTGATGTTGACTGACAGTTGTTTTAAGTTTGATATGTTGCCCTCAATTTTCCGACCCTTACGTTTACATCTGTATCAGATCCTTCCTATTTATCAGTGATGCTGCGCGGATACATGAATTCTTCACCTCTTCTAGTGCCTCTGCATTAAATGTGATTGAGTTGGTATTGACTGTGTTGTATTTGAGGATCTTGATTTTTTCCCTTGTATGTGTTGAGGCCCACTGCTGAAGTCTTTCAACACCTGTTCCTTTTCACGAATCTTCCTGAATTGAACGTGGAGCGTCTTTTCAGTTACTATTGTGGCCAATTTAAGTGCCTAAGCTGGTATGTTAGCGGGTTCTTCTGCTTTTCTACTCTTGGCTTTTCTGATGGCCATGCTGATTTCCCAACTGTTGGTTGGTTGACATCTGTAAGAAAGTCTATGTGTGCTGCTTTGATGTCGGAAAGGTTTAATGAGGCTAATCTATTGGATAATTTTTCTGGTTAGCGTTTTTTAGCGAGTTAGTTTTCTACGGGATGGGGTCACTAACCCCTCCTACTTTATCCGAGCTTGGGACCGGCAGTTGCCCCAAAGGGGCTCCAGGCGGCGCTGATGTTCAAGTTAGTGCTTCGTTAAACACTTGTCAATTGTTCTCCATAATAGTTTTATCTTTTTTGAGTACATTTTGTAAGGCTTGGGACTTGTTTCTGGGAGCTATTTTGAGTTCATTAGGTTTGTTGGAATCTCGGAGGAAGGCTGTGCTAAAGTTTTGAAATTCTGTTTCTCCATGTGTCCAGTACCTCATTAGCTTCAGTTTATTCCTGGCCAAAACCAGGTAACGACCTGATACCGTGTCAGTCCCTCTCTTCGTTCTTATGTCTTCCATGGACTTTCGAATGTTTCTGTTGGTGAAAATATGATCGGTCTGGTTTTCCGTGATGTGACCCGGTGAGACCCATATAGGTTTATGCATGCCACCTACAACCATTTTTGAAGGTACATAGATTTAAAAGTCTTTCACCATTCTCATTTATTTCTCCAAGTTAATGTCGTCTCATGGTATCTTCATACCCAGTGTTGTTCGTTCCGACTTTGGCGATTGTGTCTGCCATCAGGATGGTCAAGTCGCTTCCTGAGCACTTCGCTATGATCGACTGCAGTCTGTCATAAAACCGATCTTTAGTGTTTGTCGCTATCGTTGATGTGTGCATAGCATTGAATAGAATTCATTGTAATCTTCTTTTTCTTCGTTTTGAAGTATTATTTGACAATTCTGGATTCATGCGATTCCTACCCTATAAGTGCTTTTCGTGCTTCTTCGAGCATCATCAGTGAGTATTAAGCAACTTCTACTTCATGGTCAGAACACAACAGCGTCTACACCGGATCCAACCTTTTCCATCTAGTTTGAACCAAATGATTTTCACTTATTCTGAGTATTGCAAGGTTTTATCTCCTCGTTTGCGTAGCTATTTGGTTTGTCCTCCTGGTTTCCGTTAGCGTCTGGAAATTCCATACATCGATATTTATTGTTGTTTCGGTTGTCAAAAGAAACGTAGTTCACGAATACTAGAGTTAAGAAGACCAATTTATTGTTTATTAAAAATTTACAGAATGTCTTCTTTCTTTCTATGAAAACCAAACAGTAAATACTTCACTTGCGCATTATCCGTCAACTGTCTCCTACAAACTCCACCGTTCCTGTTGTTATTACAATTACTTCATGTCTACATTCTTGTTCTCATCATTTCGATCTTCTCAACCTTCTGCTTCCAGGCATTCCATTTCTGATTAGTGTTATGTATTACTTATGTCGACAGACACAAGTGGCATACACTACACGGACATCGGCCCCGTGTTTACTGAAGAATCTTGACTTTCATCATAAGACGTCTTAATTCTTCTCAATGAAGATCCTTCAACTTGCAGGGCGAAATTCAAATGGTTTGAATTATTTTCTCCGATTAGCGTTTTTTAACAAGGTTGTTTTCCATAGGATGAGGTTGCTAACCCTATGCCAAACCCTCCTCGTTAATCCGGTCGCGAGATCTGCAGTAACCCTAGAAAGGGTACAGGTGGACCTATGTATTCAAGAACAGTTAATATTAAGATTGAAAACTAAGTACCCCTGATTAAACAATAGAATAACGTCACTAAAGTATTCTATATGAACAGTCTCCGTCACCAACAGTATTGTATTCGCATAGACTGAAGGGAGAGTCATAAAAGGTTGATCTTAGCAATGGTATGTTCTTTCTCGTCCGACTGATATACTTTGTCATTACTAAGGTTGGAAAATCACAGGAACCAACACTGGATTATGAAATACCTACGTGCACAAGTAAGCTTTAAATGGTGGATCTCCTCTTCAAGCTTTCCAAGAAAAAAACATCCTTCGATGAATGAATGGGAAAAGCTTTAATCAGGAACATACATTCATCCCAGTCACTAACAATTTTCTTTGTTTCTTATATTTATGCTAATATTAATAACAGCATTATGTCACATTCCAACAACCTGTTAAACTTCAAATGACTCCAAAAGCCCTAAAGTTACCGTAGCTAGAACATTTGGGTATTGTTTTTTATTTGAGTTATCTGTCGTATGAACTATTTATCGTTTATAACTTCTGATCTTTTTACTTTTTTGTTTAATGTTTTTTATGTAGGAAATTTTTGCAGAAGGCTGCAGAAACTGCTTCCTCCCCGATAGACTTCAATTTGTCATTGAGAAAAGCGGAGAAACGATATGCGTTTCATCCTGAATCATTCAGTAATTTGATACTTCAAGACAAACCCACGTAAGACTTTATCTATGTGATTTTTTTCTATTGTCTTTTTCTTAAAAACAATCAATGCATCCTTTTTTCTACACTCTTTTTAAGTCATGTAAGCATTTTGAAATAAAATATTTCTTTAGGTCAATTCTCTATCAGCTAGCAGTATACATTCGTATAATAATTATCTGTAAAGCATTTTCGTTTCAAATATTTATGTAAACTTCGTCAGTTCTTTCCCTTTTCATTTTATCATTTTTCTAAGGCTTAGATTTACTCATGAACTTTAATGAAAGAAATTTTGAGTATATACCAAATAATGACTATTTTATATATGATCTCATTTTTAAACAATTAGCTGTGTTATAAATGAAGATGGATAGTGGCTAGCAGTGGAATTCAGGACGCGCCTTTCGTCCTATTTGGGGCTTGTCAGCTGAATGTACCTGCGTCTCAGAGTTGATGTTCACTCTGGGACTCAAACCCAGTACTATTGGTTTTGAAAGCCATCGTGTTATCCACTAAGCTACTGAGTCCTGATATCAACTTGCTTGTGCAATGGGGTGAAGTTTAATTCACTTGGTATTGTTTTACTTACATCAACTCTGAGATGCGGGTACATCCAGCTGGCGAGTCCCAAATAGGACGAAACTCGCGTCCTGGATTCCACTGCTAGCTAATATCCGTCTTTGCTTATAATGCTTGTAAAATTAAGGCAATATGCACATAATGCACATATGCCAATAAAAGACTGATCAATTGCAGTCCTAAACATCAATGGGAAGATCCATGTAAAAAAATATCAAGTGAATTAAATAGCTGTGTTATTTACTCGATTAGTATCAATTTAGATTTAGTGCCTAAATTTCTAACTGGAAAGCAGTGTTCCTACTTTTTAAATATGGTCAGAGAGCAGAATATAGATCACTTTTTCTCACTTAACATTAAAGTCTTATTTGTGTAATAGGAATAGATGTAATAAGTTCATTTCATAGATATGTGATTCAAAGGTGTAACTGACATGAAATATCTAATAGTCAACAATCACAATTCAGATTATGGATTTCTTCATACTAGAGAATTCTTTGTGCGATTAGTTTTCTTTTTTAAGTAAAGTTTTCAATTTTTAACTAGTTCATAATTTATAGCTCAGATCACTGACGTACTTAGAGAACAAAGTTGTTTTCGGTATCTGTATGATAATTATAGTGTTATTTGAAATCTCACTCCTGCAGTTTTTCAACTGTATTTACACCAGTTAGGGATGTACTGTTCATACAGTGTTTGTTTGACTCAAGCGAACAGATATTACCTAATAATAATCAAATAATTATTAGATTACAGCCTACTGTTCATTCCCCGTAAATGTTGTAGGTGTATATCATTGTTTAGTCCATCTTTATTTTTTACACAGTTTTTGAACTGGTTAAAATTTATTATGGGATCTAAAAAGATATTTGAATTCGTAAGACATTTAATTTGAAACTGTATGCCCTGTGTTTTTTAATAAACAGCCTCCATCGAAACAAATCAATGTTGGAAGTGAAAAAACATACTATTGACAGGGATAAACATAATCCATCAAGGCGTAGAAGAAGTAAGTTATATCTATATAATAACGAGAGCATTCAGTTAGCATTAGTTAACAATCCAGTGTAAGAACCTCTAAAGGAATATTCACAGAAAAAACAACATGAGTTGGTAAAAATAACATTAGAAATGAAGAATAAAATAGAGGTATGAGAGAAATAAGGTTAAATCATGGAGATCAAATAAGTATTCAGAACAACTGCTGCATAAAATAACAAGTCATCATTTAAAAAAAGGCAAATACCAAGTACGTCTCCAACGTGGTTACTTACTTTGGATCAATTCATCCAAGTTGTTTTAAATGATAAATACAAGTCACAAAACAGATTAAGTTTGTATACTTTGTTCTCAGCTACATTTATTGTCTTGTAATTAGAAATACAGAACGACTTTTACAGGTGAAGTAAATAAAACTATAATCCGAAGTATAGACAGACGGTTTACTGTCGAATACCTAAACTATTTTAGTAGGTTGGTAAAAACTTCAAATAAAAAATTTCATGATATCGACCTTTATTAAATTACTGAGAAATGATTTTTTGGTTTGATAAAACTACCGAACATTTAGCTATGCATCACTTTTTTATTAAGTGGATAATTCTTTATTTGTGTTAGAAAAGAAATCTACAAAGAACGAACTTAATGAGGAACCCACCTCAAGCCAATCCATTTGTTTATTGTTTTGATATTTCTTTTAATAAGTTTATTGCATACAAAATACACTGTTTCTATTAAAAGAATATTGATAAACAGTTGTGATTAGTCTAAACAGATCATATATTATGTTATGTCATATCCATTTCCCAATAGTACTGTGGTAAACGATGAAATCAGGCAGGAAATATGAAAACTATACACTATTTCTTTCAATTATCATCTATATGTTTCATGATTCCTTCAATTCTTTTATCCTAATTGCTCTCTGTTTTTCTTTCTGTTCTCTTCCACTCAATCTTCTACTGCCAGGCATCCCACTTCTGATTAGTTTTATATACTACTTATATCTATCAACATAAATAGCATTCACCATAGTAATAGTTTATTATAACATTTTTATGAAATAACTATTTACTTTCTTATATATATATATATATATATATATATATATATATATATATATATATATATACTGTAATCAGTAGTCATTTTAGTTTACTATTATTATTGGCTTTATTCAATATTATATTTTTGGTACAATATATAATTATGAGCACAAAGTATTTTAACAAGTTTCTGTTTTTTATTTCTTGATCGACCCTTAAGATAAATATTGAGTGATTGCCAGTTAAATGTTAACAGTTCAGGAATCGACATCTGATTAATGTATATTCTTTCCGATGCATATTGCCAGTAACTACGATATCTGTGATTGGGCTCTTTTGTAACTCATACACTGCAAGGTCGTAAACTTTTAGCAAACGTGCCTGAATAGATTATTTGACCAATAAGTATAATGATGTTTTGAAACAAACAAGAAACTTGTTGAAATATCCAAATGGCAGAAACAGGTAGCTCAAATATTCAAGCAGACTGCCAAGTATTTATAGTTTTGATATATTTGTAGTGTTTGCCTTCTTTCTGTTTTCCAATTTATTGTCTTTTTCATTTTGTAATTTTTGAGGTAATAACTTGAATTAGTACACTGGTGGTAGGTTCCTAGTCACTTTTATTGTTTAATTTAATGTATAAAGTGTCGTTTTGTCTACTGATCGGTTTTAATCATCATCACCATCATCAGAATAAAAGCGTCTTATTAATTTTGTATTTGTAATTCAGCTGATTGAATAGTTAATTATAACTAATTGGAAGTTTTAAATTTAGTTCGGTTTTTTTTTTGTGAGACCGATTGATAACCACAAACTAGGTAATCCTCTCACAGAAAATCAAACTTACACTACCATATCTACAAATCTTATTGATAAACCAGTTTTAATACTCTGCTAAACAGTATTCATTTAACTTTGTTAATAATCAGGGCATTAACGCATCACTATGATTACAATTCCATCTATAAAGGGCGGCCTGTTTGGGCATCTGGGCTACCTGTTCCTGCCATCTAGATATTTAAACAAGTTATCTATTTTTGTTTGTTTCAATATATCATTATGTCTTTTATTCGCATACCCTATTCTGCTGCGTTTCTGAAAAGTGTACAACCTTTCGTTGTCAATGTTAAAAAAAACTCAATAAAAGACAATGTGGTTGCTGGCAATATACAACGAAAAGAATGCACATTATTCAGATGTTCATTTACTGAACTACTAACATCCAGCTGCTGATCACTCGATATTTATCGCCAGGACGGACCAAGAAGAAAGAAACGGAAACTTGTTGAAATACTTTGCGCTGAGAATTCTATATTGTACCAAAAATATAATGTTGAATAAAGCTTATAATAATAATAATAATATTGATTTAATGAATTTTCCCACGTTTTTGATTTCATTTTATATTTCTGTCCAAAATTATCCATTTGTATCTTCCGAACTCTTTTCTTTTTTTTCAAATAAAAACAAACATAGAATTGCAGAAATCTTATACTACTGAAACTGATATTATTTCATATGAAGAAGATAGACAGCAAAGTCTTCTTAAAGTATGGCGATATGATATATTAACTCATTGGAAATCAGGTTATCCATCTAAACATATAAGACAATACTTTTGGGAAGGTGTTCCTTCAGCTATTCGTCCCCAAGTAAGTAAAGAAAATTTTTGGAGATCTGTGGCGACACCATAATTTATAGATGAGATAATAGGTCTTGGATTTTGGCGCGAAATTCATTCATCCTTTTGAATAAGTAGCGTTTTGGCATTTTAGATGATGTTAGGTCGTGATGAAAACTCTAAATCTAGTTCTTAGCTGTAACTATCAACTTTAAATCATAATTCTAATTCCTCACACTGCTTTATAACCTTCATTTAGTCATTGTTAATAGGTGGACATTCTCAGGGTCACTGTAGCGTCGCTTAAAGGTCGTCTGTAAATTATAGTCTCGCCAGAATCTGTTTATAACAATATATAAATAATTTTTTTTCAAATCAATCCATTTTAATATTTTTGTGAATTGTAATATTTTAACGATATTTAGTTTGACAGTAAACCTATAGATATAATTAATTGTGATTAAGCGAACTACTTACAGATCCGTGTATTATGCTACTAATCACGTCTGTTGTATAGATAGTGTAAAAAAAACAATATTAAACAATCTGAATTTCTGTAAATGAATTAAGCTTCAAATTTATGACCCTTATCATTGACAGGTAAATATTTTAACTGATGACTTATAACTTCAGAATTCAATTAAAACTGGTGGTCAGACTAGTTAAATATTTAAAATTCAATGAATTAATCATTTAACAGTATTTAACTCTAGTACTTAACGATCTGTTTGGTGAGAGTAATTCAAACTTGAAGCAGCAGTTTTTTTAAAATAAGTTTTGTTGTAACTGTGTACGTCGTTTTTAAAAACTTAATTGATATCTGTTGGGGAGATCTAAAGAATTCCTCGAAAAAGTCCATAGGGAAAACTTTACTCATCTAAATTTCCAGGGGTTGAACTTCTACCAGGAGATTCACTTGTTGACTTGGAATATACCGATGACATAGTTCTATTTGGTGAAGACGCTGAAAAAATGCAGAGTCCTCTGGCCACTCTAAGCAACAATACAGGCATGTTCGGCATGCGATTCTCCACCTCGAAATGCAAAATGTTGCTTCAGAATTGGGTTGCATCGACACCCGAACTAATGATAGGGAGTGAAGTAGTTGAGCATGTCGACCGCTTCACTTATCTTGGAAGTCTCATCAGCACTTGTGGTTTGGTGTGTGACGAAATCTCAGCACGGATACAGAAGGCTCAATTACTGCTTACTACCTCTACCACTACGGGATTTGAATCGACAACTGCATCTCTGTGCTAATGTAGTATGGCAACTCGAACTGACGTACGTACGTACAAAGTTCCACGTTGTTACTGACTGACTGACTGATAGATTTAGCCTGTAGTTATTAGAAGAGCTAAGAATACCAATTCAAGAGTTCATTTAAGAGATTTATTACTTTCATCAGGGAGAATCGATATGAAATAACAAACAACGTTAAAATCTCGACTTAAAATATTTAGCTTATAAATTAAACAACTACTCTATCATCATTCATTTGGTATTGATTGTTTGAATCTTCCCATTGATTTTTAGGACTGCAACTGATCAGTCTCTTTTTGAAATATGTGCATTGTGTGCTGATTGCCTCGATATTACCTTAAGTCACGAGCATTATATGTGTTTCGTTGAATTTTGATGTACTGTTTTGTGTAAATTTTACAACCTCACTAACTATTATACATATAGCAACAAGGCGACTAAGTTTTAAAAACATGTTTCAATATTTCCAGTTATAAATAATCTATTCATTTATGCATTCACAATCAAACAGCTATTCTGCTTAATATATTCTATGTAGTTTATCCTTTAAAAAATCGTTCTTCTAATTCCATGTATGTATATATTGAGGTTTGAAATTAAAATCGTTAGACACTGGCTAGATGTTAAGCATTCACGCATGTGGTTGAAAAACCTGGGCTCAATTTCCGTGTGCTGGATCGTGGCTGAGCATTGCTGAGGAGCCTCGTACTCAGACGCAACTCCTTTAAAGTACTTCTGTATTTTCACTGGTAGTCTAACTTAGATCGGTCGATGATTTCATGTTGGATTCGCCTTACTTTTATCGTAAAGTATACTTTGATTTCATGTTTTAATTAATTCAAAGGTCAATTTTATCCATACTGAATTCATTATTCACTTATTTTTTAAATATCTGAACTTTGCTATCGAATGATAATAAGTAACTGTTCATAACTAATTTAACTTAAAATTAGTACGTGTAAGTAGGTCTATTTAGATTTGGTTATTTTTATTATATCCACATAATAACTAATTTACATTTGAGTTATTTAATTGCTCAGCAATAAGTTACGTCAATTATTATTATGCTTATTATCGGCCAAGTATGTAGGTATTTTTTATATGATTCACAGAATGCTGATTGGTTGGTATTCTGCTTTATGACTTTACTTATATACTACGATGCCATTTGATAGTAAGTAGTATCAGGCGCAAATTTATCGGCTTTAATTTATGTTATCATCATGTGTAATACTATTAAACTAAGATAACCGATTGGTTCCGTTAGATAGTGTACGTAATAGAGGCCATACTTGTACTCATAACAGTTATATGATTGATAATGTCATAAGAACAAAGTTAATACATGCTGGGTTTAGGTCAGATTCTCAGCTGTGAACATTAACACTATTATGCAGGTATATTCAACTGATGAGTTTCGGATAAGACCAAACGGATACATTAGATTTTAATGCTTACCACAGTTTGATATATACCGAAATTAACGTGATTATCTCTTGCAAACCTATTTTACTGTAAATTTGTTGCGAATGGTAACTTTGAATAGGATTGTACACAGGAGAAAATTTAATGTTCAATATGCATACTTTTAGTTATGATTACGTTTAACTCCATTCTACTGATGTCTGTGTTTGACATTTGACTATCGCTATTGTTCAATTGTATTCTGTTTCATTATTAATACTTGTATTTTCATGTTTTGTTGGTTAAATTACCGGTTAGTGCCATATGAGAAAGTAGTTAACCGTGTAACGTATCAACAAGAATTGTGTATTAGATGGGGAAGTATCATGAACTACGTGAAAAACTGGCTGTTTATAGCAGAGTTTTTTATGTCACGGTGACTAAATTCATTATACTGTCTTGTCTCAATTGTTTGTATATAGTAACATTATATATATTTCAGAATGATTTTGGTTCCACTAATATGTTGAAATATGTTTTCTTTTTGTTTCGAAAGGTTTGGTCTTTACTACTTGGTAATAAATTAGGAATAACTCGAGAATTATTCAATACTTGTCTTAGTCAAAGTAAACATCATATTAAAACGAATATCATTGAACATTCTGGTATCATTCAATATGAGACAACAAATTCTAATCATAATGAACTTTATTCATTATTTAACTTAAATAACACTGAAAATTCTACATTTAATTGTTCTATGTGTAATTTTATATTCAGTAAATTGAATACCATACCAATTAAACGAGAATTTACACATATCCCTTGTGTTACCAGTAATTTAACAAATTTACATCAACATTATATGAAAAATTCTTCCGAAGGGGTGGAAGTAATAGAAGCATATGTTTCAACAAACTCTTTCAAAATAGATCCATCAGATTTTGAACAATCAAATCGAACAGGTAGTCTAGTTGTTGTTGTTTTTTTAAATTGATGATGAAATGTAATTCAATAAGAGGTTTGATAATTAAATTAAACTTTATTATATATTACCGGATAGTAATAGTGTTGATTGAAATATACCGTATACTTATTAGCAGTGAACTATGTTTAAAACAATCTTGTAGAATCTAATAAACTTTAATTGAGTTGTTGTTTAGAATTTACTAGTTGGTTAGATATTTTTCTGTTTTTCTCTATAAATGCCTAATCATTAATTTATTCAGATAGCTATGTAGTGAACTAGAACACAGGTGGGGACAACCAATCTATTATTTCATACGAAATTACAGAATATCTTCGTAAAATATAAGAATCATACATTAAATACTTCATTTGCAAATCTTCCGTCAACTGTCCTTCCAATTCACAATTCCTTTCTATTTCCCTTTCTGTTTTCTTCAACTTGACCTTCTTATCCTTCTTCTGTCATGCATTTCACTTCTGATTGGTCTTATTACTTATGTCCGTCTAAATAAGCAGCATACACTACAACTATACCATATCTATTGAGAGTTTTTGACGTGTAATATCTTCCACGTAACTAGTTAGTTCATCTTCGCTTGAATATTGATTTTAATTCACAGAGAACTGACCATTGAACATGGGTATAACACAGTCTCCAGTGATGATAAAAAAGTTATGGATATAGTTTGTAATCATTATTGTTGTGTATAGTAATATCGTTGTGTTTTGTTTACTAAATATGACAATATTACCTCGAGCATACAGATTGAAATAGTTAATTCTGTCACGAAGTTGTATTTTAGATTATAACTCACACAAAAAAGATTGACTGTAAATTTGTTGAGTGATGTCAAGAATTACATCATAACAGTAGTTAATCACTTTTTCGATGTATATACTAAAAATAATGTAAGAATATACGCCAATTTACATTCATGATCAAGTGGATAGCGATGTTAAATGTGTAAACGGCAGATATATAACTTTGGATTGTTTGGAGTGTAATAAGAAAGATTAGTTCAGCGAAGAGTTTTCTTTTCGGCGAATTCATTTTCAAAGCTGTACAATCGTAAATATATATACTTATTTTAATAGGATGATAATAATACTGATAATAAACTTCTGTTAGGCATGTTGATAGTGAGGTTAAATAAACAAAGTTATCAAAAAATTCTTTTAAAAACAAGGAAAGCTTAATAATCGTTTGATTGTTACTTGCTTAAGTATTCATCAAAAAAAATAGATAGGGAAATTATCATTGGGAAAGGATGGCTCAGTACGATAAGATAAAATGTTGAACTTGAGATTCAATGTAATTAGAATGATCGTGTAAACAAAATAAACCAGTTGGGGGTAGAGGATTTAAGGGGAAGATGGGAGGTGAAGCATATGACTGTAAAGGAAGAAGAGTATGAGAAAGAGAGAAAAAAGTTATAAGACATTAAGACCATGGTAGAAGAAAAGGTTGTACCAGTCTCTTATGTACACACAATTCTGGTTTTTCCAGATGTATGCAAAGAAGATGCAGTCTAGTTGTCTTTAGAAGACTTCTACTTACCTTGTAGACGACTTTGGAAGCGGAGTCTATCTCAAGATATATAGCCGTCTTCACAAGGTGTCCGAATAAGTTCAATAATCGTCTAATAATCCGTTTACTAAAAAAAATTCCAAAGACCCCTCGACAGTAAAGGAACTTAACGAGTTTCTGCATTATTCTGTCAAACTTGCTGAAGTGTAATAGTTGAAAATTAATTAGGCAGTACATTTTTTTCACATGAACTGTAATAATAAACGATATCAGTTTGGAACCATTAATTTTTAGTAGGTGGATATCTTATTGATATATGAACAGCGTATCCAAGGTCATTTTCAGTACTACTACAGAATAACTTTATTCATCCATATCTTCATGAGTTCTATGTAGAGATTATTGTTATTATTATTATTGTAGTTTGTCATAAAATGTTTAAATTATCCATGATATCGTGTTGACAAGTGAATTCAACAAGTTGTTTCATTGTGAAATTCTATCTTAGATTAGTTTTTAATATAATTAATTCATATATTGACCTTATTTTCTTCTTATCACATTTAATTACATATCATTGTAGAATAGCAATTTTCTTCATTTTGAAATTAATGTCTACTTTTAAACTATTCCATTAAATTTAATGGATTCTATTACATTCTACTCTCTTTTTCTATGTGTATGCAAATGAAGTTGAAACGAATATAGTCAGATATAGTGATAATACTGTTCATCTATAACGTAGTTAGAACTTCCATGTAATCTCTTGTCACTGGTCAGAATATCTATCTAAAATAAATTATTCAGTTTATAAAAACAGACGAATAATGTAGGGTATTTATAGAATTTTTCTTGGCATATCCTTGAGTATCTATGTCATAACTCCTAATTCAATGGTACTCGAGTGGTTTTCAATTTCAAAAGGGGTAATAGTTACTAAGAGAATTCATTTTTTTGATTGATTGGGAAACAGCTTTCGTTTTTAAAAGTTCTTTTGAAATTAGGATTTCTCTATAGCTTTTATGTGTGTTATATTATTATTATTATTTTAGTTTGTTAAATAAACAATTCTATTTTTCTCACTATTCATTTATAGATCATACTATGAATTTGCATGCAATTAAAGTAGACATGTATCAAATATATCCAACATTGGATTTATTCTTACCTGGTTATCCATATCATGAGAGATTACATGATTTATTATCAGCTTTTATTACTTATAAACCTGAAATTGGTTATATACCAGGGATGTCATGGATAGCTGGTATGGCTTTGATAGTTTTTGATAATACATATGATGCATTTGTAACGTTTGCAAATATTTTAAATAGGTCATATCATCAAGCATTTTATAGTATGGATGAAGAGAAAGTAAGTTGAACTATTTTATTTCATTCATAATGTTGCGCAACCATTTTTCATTATCTTTGGAAACTAACTACCTTCATCCAGTACGGTTGAACTCGATTGATCATGGCTTCTCATTAGAACTCTGAGAATTACCTCTCGAAGCTAGTCACTAGTGAAGACATGATAAATATCAGTATAGAGTTGTGAAGATTGTTGATTTTTCATAGAGATCATGAACTAATCGATGTTAGATTAATATTGCAAACTTGGAAGCATTGCGTCTTCACGGTTTTGTACATGTCACCCAAAACCAGCCTCTTATGGTCTCGTGCACTACTATGGAGTCCCATACTGAGACGAAACGGTCTTACAGTGTTTTCATGTTAACAATAAGGCTGACAATAGATCAATCACTTAGTAGTTACCAATATCATGTTGTGTAATTCTTATTGCTAATTGAAACGAATCAACTTTATAATAGATCTTAGTTGCAGGTGGGCAGTTGTAAGTTTTTTCATCACATATTAAGGAAATTTTAAACTTGTGACCGAGTTCTTTTTCTAATTTAGTAATTACTATAAGAAAGTTTGGCATTTTGGATTTGTTTTTGCGAATTAATTATATATGCTAACTACCCAGTAAACTCAAGTGCTTTTAATGATGTCTGAAAGATAATTACTAATAAATACCAATGGAGCTATCACTGTAGTTAATAATCTTGTCCTCGTATGTGAGAGGCAATTCAATTGGAACGCATATATCAATTATATTGTACGACGTGTTGCAGCTAATCATTATTGAAAAACGTGCTTTTATATACATGTTGAGTGGTAACAAGTTGAAATAGTATCATTAAGAAACTTATTGAGAAATTATATATTTGTATTGGAGTTATTTACTGTGGTCAGTGTTTCGTTTAGATTTGCACTAGTTTGGTTTGGTTTCTTGGTAAATAAACTTTATAAAACTTTTCAATCGGGCATTCGTGAACAATTTTAAGAATGACATATATATACATCGGTTTAAGTTGTTACATTTCATCAACACCGAGAGATAGATTTGTCAGGGGAAATCTCAGAGTACTAGAAGTAGTGTCGGTGATAATATAGAAGATTAGGAATACAATATATGAGTCAACAGAAATATATTTTAATAGTTAAGATCATGAATCAGTTGGAGCTAGACCACCATAGATAATCTGGAAGCACTGGACAGCCGTTTCGTCCTAGAATGGTACTCTTCAGTAGTGCGCATCTACGAAAAATATCGGTAGACTGAAACAGCTTTCAAGATTGGATGGAGAAAGCTGGTGAGCGACCTATGCTCCTTCACGAGGAGTAACAGGTGTAAGTAAGTAAGTAAGTAAAAAATCTAGGATGTAGATGAATACAAAGAGTGAATATACAAGTGCTATTGCGAACTATTTTTAGTCAGATCGCCCAAGTCTCTAACCATTAGTTATGTTAATCATATATACTTCAACTCGGTAGCCACCTAAAACATCCACAACACAGTACATTAGACTTAATGAACTGATGCCATGTCTTGACTTGACCGCCCTTAGCTCTCTTTCAAACTATTCCTGATCACGCATCAAGATAAATCTCATTAAACGTTGTACAATGTTCACTGAGAAGATTTAATGAAATTTACTGTTTATAAGCACTTCTAAACAAAATCTATACCAATATTCACTTTCTTCTATTCATTTGTTCTTTTTGTTAACAAAACCAAATAAACTAATTATTCTCTTATATAATTTCTTTTTTACAGTTTCTACTATATTTTAATGACTTCGATAAGTTGTTCTCTAGGTGTCTACCTCGACTTTATAAACATTTTAAAGAAGTTGGTTTCGAAACAACTATGTTTCTGTTCGATTGGTTCTTTACATTATTCAGGTAAATAAATTATACAACAATGACAAATATTATAGGCTGAAGTGAATTCAATTTCATTTTATATATTCTTTCAAATATATTCAATAATTTTCATTCTCTTATAAAGTGTCTTACATTCAATCAAGAAGCTTCAGAAAATTTAAAATTTTCTACTTATCGGGTTATTACAAATATACCATACTTATTATACACTAATTTTTACACTATTTTTTAATAGCTGAATTCATGAGTCAATTGAAGCTAGACCACCATGTAAAACCTGGAAACACCGGGCGGTCGTTTCATTCTGGTATGGGATTCCTCAGCTGTGAGCATCCAAGATGATGCCTCGCGAAATTTGAACCCAGGACCTATCGGTCTCGCGCGCGAAGGCTTAACCACTAGACTACTGAGCTGGCATACAATGGTGTTAATGTCTAACTTCAGCCAATCCACGAAATTGCACCACTGTTGGATGCCAGCTCAGTAGTCTAGAGGTTAGGCGTTCGCGAACGAGACCGATAGGTCCTGGGTTTGAATCTCGCGTGGCGAGGATGTGAGCGAATTCATTTACCTAGACGTCTAGATTGATCCGAGATGGAATAATTTATTGAACAGTATTGAATATTGTTCAATTCATGATCTCAATTAGAACCTAATAATATCCACAACCCTGTACTGATAATATTCAAATAATAAGACTAGTTATAATAACTACAAATTAGAAATGAAATCTTGACTAAATAAATAATGGTATTATAGTTGTTAACTAAACGTTGGTAACAAAGTTGAAGAATGCATGTAAACGTCATAGATTAAACTGACGAAATAAAATTTCAAATTTTTCGAGAAAAATGAAGAAAAAAGGGAGGAAGGTGTTGATAGCAATGAATCAGTCAATACACACACTGCAACATGGAGGGACTAGAAATTTTCCATAATTGATTAGCCTCGTGTTGTGTTGACGTAGGTGAATTCTTCTGGTTGTTTTCTATAAACTTGTAGTCGTTCTATATCTAACCTTATCTCTAACCTTGAAGTCACTTATCCTTGTTCTTACTGGTTGACAGAGTAATTGACTTGCGAAATATCTATTGATTGATGCGTTACCAGAACTCTATGCTTCTAGAAGCATAGCATCAAAACAAACTGTCACAAATCTACGAACGACAACCAACCAAATTCATCTAGGTCAATTTTGGAAAATTTATAATCATTCATTTCTTATTGAAGTATGTGTTAACGCTGTTGTCTAAGAAGACTATGAAAACTTCACGAATAAACCATTCTCAACAAAGAGAAAAGAAAGAACATTCAAAATAAAAAGTTGTGCTAGTTTCTTACATTGATTATAACTAGACAATTGGAAGTCGCTATTTTAAAATTAATATGTTTTCAGCAATACACATTATAGATAAAAAAAAATGTATAAAGAACTATGTATATACATACTTTTCATTTTTTTTTTTAAAAAAGGAACAATGTCTGCTATTTGTAATCAATTAATTCATTTACTCTTCTTATTTACATTTGTTAATATGCTTACAAAATTTGTATATCAAATTACATAGATCTTGAAAATCTCACTAATTATTCCTTCAACAACATCATTATTAGATATTGTAAAAATTCTAATCATTCCTGAGTCCGCTTGAAGTGACCTTATATCTTCCACATTACAAATATCACATTTTCCACACTCACTAACATACACATAAGTAAGTTTCATACTGAATCATTTTGACCTAAATGAAATGATATAAACATGATCAGATCTATTTTCATGTTGATTATATTTATATTATTCCTCTTTACTCCGTTTGTACTATTTAAATTTGTATGGATTTAATTCGTCTATTTATTTATTCTCTGAAAGGATAAGATAGAATACATTCCCGTGAAATTGTAGTACATGCATTATTCAATGTTCATTGTGTGTGAAGTTTCATGCATTTCCGGGCACTTTTCCGGTATTATACAGATAGTTTTAGAGAACTGAAATAAAGTCTTCAGTAAGAATCATACATTTATACTCAAAACTTACTTTTAATAAATGCTTGAAGACGCTAGACATTAAGCTTTTATTGAGCATTTTTGAAAAAAAAATAATGTTCGATCTCATTCGCTTACACAAAACTTCATCAATTCGACTTTCTATCAACTGGACTTTACAAATATATATTTATATTATTAAAACCCATGTTTTCTTTCTTACTTATGCTCATTGAATTAGCCTTTTTTGTGTAATTATTGTATCACTGTACTGCTTCTATCATCGTTATTTCTTTCTACTCTCATTCATCCATTTATATTTATTTATTCTTCTATGTTATTATATTCACCTTCCTTTATCTATCTCTTCACAATTTGATTGTCTTATTGTGTGGTGCATATTTTTTTGGTGCCTTTATTTATTAATGTTTACGTATTCAAATGAGTAAATAAACAAACTGTATCACGTAATAAGTGATTTAAGTAATCTATTAGTTGTTTTTCATCGCACGATAGATTTTCTACAACAACATAAAAGAAATCATGTTGTTTAACCACAAATAATGTGGTTTTTTCCCTTCCAAATATGCTCCTACAGCATATGTATGCGTAGGTAAACAAATGTTTAGAGTAGACCTCATATGAAAAAGTTTTCTAACCATATAATGCGTTTTACCGAATACTCATAATCCAAATATACCATTGTCAATCGATAAGAAGTCTTAGATAAATCCAGTGTAGAGTTGGTCTAGAGGGAGGACATTCGCTTGAGACTGAAAGTTCTGGGTTAGAGTCCTGCGTACATGATCGTGGATTCACACTGCTGAGGAGCCCATACTTGGATGAAACGTCTGTACAGTGCTTCCATGTTTTTAATGGTGGTCTAACATTGATCGGTTCATGATCTCAATGAAATTATAATAATTGTTTATTATTGAGAATTTGATTTCTTTTTTTTCTAATTTATTCTTTATCAAATTATTCATCAAGTCGAATACTTCCATTAGAAACATGTATACGAATATGGGATTTATATTTTCTATATGAAGAATCTGCTTTGTTTTACGCAGCTTTGGCAATATTGAGATTATGTGAAAAAGATTTACTGTCTAATAATTTCGATGACTTATCATCATATTTATCTAGTGCAACATTATTACAATCACTGACACCAGACCTATTAGTAAGTAGTAGTAATAGTAGTAGCATTTATGGACTTTTAATTATTGTATAATTTACTCAAATAATACGATAATAGTTCATTTTGATTTATTTATTTTCATAAGAAAGTTTGATATTTCTTATCCATCATGTATTGTTTATGATTTATTGGCTAAACTTCAATTTACTTTATTATAGATATTAATTAATCAAAATTGACCGTTAACTATAGTTTCGAGTCCCGTGAGCAGGATCATGCGTGCGCACTGCTGAAGAGCCTCATACTAGAACAAAACAGCCGTCCGGTGCTCTCAGGTTTGCCATGGTGGTCTAGCTTTGATTGATTCATGAATTCGATTATTAAGTTATTATACTCTCCACAAAACCCCTTTCTGATAACATTGAGTAAATTTTTATAATTTGGAAAATCAACTATCATTATGTAAAATACTCACTGAAAACAAGAAAATGCATGTAAACATTAAAATAAGGATAAAGAAAAATTTGTATAAATACTATTGAAATAATGTTACATAAATACAAAGTGTATTTGCATATTTATGCATCGGTTAAAAATTGCTAAGATATTTCAATCACTTTGAAACATTTAGTCCATTTGATAAATTTGAATAGTACAATGATTTTCGTTCTCTTATTACACTATCCAAACTTGAATGACTATTTAGAAAAATATATGATAATAGCTAAACTGAGAAATTGAATCAGTCGGAAGTGTTCTTTTAAAATGTTTAGTAATTTGTATAGTTTTGTGATGAAATGACATAGTTTTGGAATCTTCCGACTTTTGTCCACTAAATTTTAGGTTCAAATCCTGCTCCGTCGAATTCAGTTTAAAGAATTGAATGGTAAAATACCCCTAATACATTGAGTGTAGTTCATACTCAGTGCACCTGGTGACTGAGTTAGAGTGATTTTATGCAGTAACTCAGATTGTGATTATGTATGATGTAGATTAAAATTTATTGCTTTTGTATTTCCAAATGAATCTCTCTAAACTATCCGTAATGATCCAACTTAGTAACCAGATATGAAGTCAGTTATTTGGATTATATTTACTCATTTTAAAGATAATGATATAAGTCAACTGGTTAAAGTGAAAAAGAACTAGTGAGGGGTTCAAACCTGGTATCCTATAGCTTAAAGTTGAATTCATTAACTAGTAAAACCTTGCTCTACGATTTGCTCATTTTGTAACTGATTGATCACAGTATAACTTTACATTACTGTATTTGTTTATATCCCCTTTACTTCTCGTTAATAATGCTTTGACCTTTTTAGTGCATAGACATCCAGTTTATTATGCGTTGTTCAGTAATTTGAGTCTCTTTTCTTATTTACTGTAAATGTATGTTACTTAGGAATTTTAGGTAAAGAATATATCATGAATTAGCGTCGTTTGCTGTTCGGGGATTCAACCATAATTTGTCTTATTTTAGATAGCCAATTTCTATCACTGTCGTGTAAATAATTTATATAATTCAAAGACGAGTTGTGTAAATCTGTCCTTGGTAGTTGAGAAATATATTCATTACAAAGACTGACCTGTTGTAAGTTGCAACAAATTAAGGTAGATTTACTCAGTGTCCGCTCTTGTTATATGACTGCCAGACTGTTTTTTTTCACTGAGTCACTCACTTAGAATAATGTATCAGATAAATGCTTTTTACTGTTCTCATAGATCTCTTTATGTCTAATCAGAAGACAAATAATATACTTAAGTAATCATATAAACACGATGCAAACTTGCCATATACGAACACTTCATGTGATTTATTATGTATTTTCCTCAGAATGCTTGCGTTAGCTATTACGAGTTTCTTCTCGTACCTCGTTTTTTTCACTCAATTTATTCATTCAAATTTTACTAGTATCTTATCACGTGTCTTTTAAAACATTGTTGACATTTGATAGGACCATTGAGTTAGTAATAATGAAGTCAAACTCAGAATACTAGGGAAGGATAGTCAATCGGTTGATTAGGTGGTGAACCTTCACCGACTGAGAGATTTACTACATACATTTAGCTACCGCCTGCCTCTACGTTCTTGTGTAATAGTAAGTGGTAGAGAAGATAAGGACCGTCAAACCAAGCCGCGAAATCATTCCATAAAGCTAGTGACTGTTAGTCTATCTATGTTAGTAAATCCATACCCTTTGATAGAAATCTGAACAATAACCTTCTAAAAATATCTTAAACTTTGAATTCCGAGGATTTATTATTTTTTCTGTGATCACATTCTTTAAATGTAATTCGTTTTACCATCACTAATAATACTACTTCTGCTACTATAATATTCATCTTAACAACTTCATCTCACTGTGGAAATTTATATCAATACAAATTTGTACCAATTCTTTTTGTTGCTTTTGACTGACCGACTTTCATAATGCATTGATAGCGTTCTCCTGCACTACAACAACTTAGCGATTAGTTCTCTTTAAACTAAATTATAATTTTTCTGTTTCTACTGTTAACATTATGTAAATGTTATGTCACAGACTAATTGAGTTGTTTAGTAATGATTGTTATAACCGAAGAAAACTGTATGAGCCAATGTTTGTTGCGCTTGATAAGAGTAGTGTGGCTGAGTAACAACTATTCACAAGTCTGAATTACTGACTCAGGAAAACTCTTAGTGAATGTTTATAAAAAGTTTATTTATTTAAGCACATAAACATTTGTACAAGCAGGCATCATATATTACATGCATCACACTTCATCATTCGATTTGTGTAAAGGACTGAAATATTGCCCAGGCGCCGAAACCGAAACAGGTGGTTTGCTACAGGAGCCACTCTCCGAGCCCTTGACCTAGAGGTTTAATCCATAAGTTAGTGAAACAACGTTAAGAGATGCAGTCTCATGGTAACCAAGAACCAACAATGGATCCATACGCCGTTTATTGCCTCAGAATCCTGGGGCCCATTTACACGATTGTTTTCGAATCAGGGTTTTCCAACTCCCCTTGGTAGATCCTCCGTGTCGACCGACCCCGTTAAAGCGCAGAATATTTCCTTTACTTCCTCTCAATTTCGTAAACATCGGTAATGCCGCTAGAAGGCAGTGAGGACTTCCCTGGCAGTGGCTGTGTACGGGTGGCTATGTGAGAGCATTTCGAAAGGGAGAGCGGACCCTCCCCACCCCCAGTCGTATTATCAAAAGACAAAATAAAAAATCACTAGGAAGAAGTCATTTTATATCTAAAATATACAACATTCATGTATACAAAATATTTCACACAATATAAACATGATTATATATCATTCAATTCATAAATGATAGCAAGTTGTGTGTTTTGTAGGTCATCATTATCAGCTTATGACCAATATATGTTTTTCAGACTTAATCCTTATTGCCTTATATATCAGCCATCCTTTTGTGTTTGATTTGTACGGAGTTTGGTCAATATCGAAGATATGTAGGTTAATCATTTGGTAAACTGTGTGCAGAAAGATTATTACGAAATTTGGTATTTACACCAGCACTTATCGATTTAGTTGTAGTGTGTAAATTTATTTTTTGATATTTGAATAAAGCCAGAACAACCACTGACACAGAGTATTAAAACTTTTTTCACTACGGAGGACCTCATCAACTTGTTTACGATCATATATTAATATTTGACATAGTATTGGATGATAAACATGGATGACTAGGAAATTAGAAATAATTATCAGTGCTATATATAACTTACTTACTTACTTACGCCTGTTAATCCCAATGGAGCATAGGCCGCCGACAAACCATTGGTTACGATAGTCACGCGGACCCCAACCAAGTAGTCTGCATCTCCCAACATGACTCAGACTAGAAGTTAGTGACTTCAAGCACTGATGCCACGTTTTGGTTTACTTACTTACTTACGCCTGTTACTCCCAATGGAGCATAGGCCGCCGACCAACATTCTCCAACCCACTCTGTCCTGGGCCTTCTTTTCTAGTTCCATCCAATTCTTGTTCATTTTTCTCATGTCTATCTCCATCTCTCGGCGTAATGTGTTCTTTGGTCTTCCTCTCCTCCTCCTTTGGCCTTGAGGATTCCATGTGAGGGCTTGTCTTGTGACGCATTTGGGTGCTTTCCTCAATATGTGTCCTATCCACTTCCAGCTATTCTTCCTGATTTCTTCCTCCGGTGGGATCTGGTTTGTTCTCTCCCACAGTACGTTGTTGCTAATAGTGTCCGGCCAACGGATCTGAAGTATTTTGCGTAGACAACTGTTAATAAACACCTGTACTTTCTGGATGGTGGCTTTCGTAGTTCTCCAGGTTTCTGCCCCATACAGTAGAACTGTCTTGACATTTGTATTGAAAATCCTGACCTTGGTGTTGGTTGACATCTGCTTTGAGTTCCAGATGTTCCTCAGTTGTAAATATGCTGCTCTTGCTTTGCCGTTCCGCACCTTCACATCTGCATCAGATCCACTCTGTTCATCAATGATGCTGCCCAAATATGTAAAGGTTTTTACATTTTCGAAATCTTCTCCGTCAATTGTGATTGGATTGGTGCATGCTGTGTGGTTTCGGAGAATCTTGCTTTTCCCTTTGTGTATAATGAGACCTACTGCTGCTGAGGCTGCTGCCACACTGTTCGTCTTCTCCTGCATTTGTCGTTGCGTTTGGGATAGAAGGGCCAGATCATCTGCGAAGTCTAGATCGTCCAACTGCATCCTAGATGTCCATTGTATCCCGTGCTTCCCTTCAGATGTTGACGTCTTCATGATCCAGTCGATCACCAGGAGAAAGAGAAAGGGTGAGAGTAAGCAACCTTGCCTAACACCGGTCTTCACTTCGAACGACTTTGTCAACTGTCCTCCATGCACGATTTTGCAGTGTAATCCATCATATGAACTCTGTATGATAGTGTCTATCTTCTGAGGCACGCCGTAGTGTCGAAGAAGTTTCCATGGTGTTGTTCTGTCCACGCTATCAAATGCCTTTTCGTAGTCAATGAAGTTGATGTAGAGTGATGAATTCGATTCAATTGATTATTCCACAATGATCTGTAGAGTTGCGATTTGGTCTGTACACGATCTATCCTTACGGAATCCTGCCTATTGGTCACGAAGTTGGGCGTCTACGCAGTCCTTCATCCTGTTTAACAATACCCTGTTGAAGACTTTTCCCGGTATTGAGAGAAGAGTGATGCCCTTGTAGTTATCACACTTGCTGAGATCGCCTTTCTTCGGTATTTTGATCAGAAGTCCTTCTTCCCAGTCTGTTGGTACTTGTTCCTCATCCCAAATCTTATTGAAGAGAATGTGGAGTATCCTTGCAGTTGCCGCTACGTCTGCTTTTAGTGCCTCTGCTGGAATGTTGTCCGGTCCTGCTGCTTTGCCACTCATGATTTGCCTGATGGCCATGCTGATTTCTTCAATTGTTGGTGGGCCAACATTGATTGGGAGGTCCGTGGGTGCTGCTTCGATGTTGGGTGGGTTCAGTGGAGCTGGTCGATCCAAGAGTTCTTTGAAGTGTTCTGCCCACCTGTTTTGTTGCTCTTCAATGTTGGTGATTACTTCGCCTTCCTTGCTTTTCACTGGTCGTTCTGGTTTGCGGCGATTTCCAGAGAGTTTCATTGTCGTGTCATACAGTTGTCTCATGTTTCCTTCTCTTGCAGACTTTTCCGCCGTCATCGCTAAATCTTACACATATTTACGTTTGTCAGTTCTGATGCTCCTCTTCACTTGTTTGTTTACTTCTGTGTATTCAGCTTGTGCCTTGGCTTTTTCTGCTCTTGTTCGACTGGTATTGATTTCTGCTTTCTTGTTCCTCCTCTCTTGAATCTTATCCAGTGTATCAACAGTGATCCATTCCTTGTGATGGTGCTTCTCGTGACCCAGGACCTCATGACATGTTGAAGTGATTGCCTCTTTGATCCCCTTCCAGTCGCTCTCCACAGTAGTTCCTTCTCCATTGAGTAGATCATGAAAGGCCTGGAACTTGTTGCTGAGGTCTATCTTGAATTTGTTGAGTTTGCTAGTATCGTGAAGAAAGGCCGTATTGAACTTTTGTGATATTGCCCGCCCCATTGGCCAGTGCTTCTTGAGTTTCAATTTCATCTTGGCGACCAGCAAGTGATGATCTGATGCTATATCAGCTCCTCTCTTGGTTCTCACATCCTCCATCGTCATCCTGAACGTTTTGTTGATGCAAATATGGTCGATTTGGTTTTGCGTGGTGTGGTCCGGTGAAGTCCATGTGGTTTTGTGTATGCGTTTATGTGGGAATATGGTGCCGCCTATGACCAGTTTATTGAAGGCACATAGGTTTGCAAATCTCTCACCATTTTCGTTTCTTTCTCCCAGTCCGCGTCGTCCCATAATGTCTTCATATCCAGTGTTGTCCGTTCCAACCTTGGCATTGAAATCTCACATCAGAATGGTCAGGTCCTTTGTTGGGCACTTCTCGATGATTGACTGAAGCCTATTGTAGAATTGATCTTTAGCGTCTTCATTGTAGTCGTTGGTAGGCACATAGCATTGGATGATGTTCATTGAAATGCCCTCTTTCTTTGTTTTGAAGGAGGCTTTGATGATCCTTGCTCCATGAGGTTCCCATCCTATAAGTGCCTTTTGTGCTTGTTTGGACAGCATCAATGCAACTCCTTGTGTATGTGCAGCATTTTCTTCTTCATGGCCGGAGTATAACAGAAGCTCCCCTGAAGCTAGTCGTTGTTGTCCAACTTGCGTCCAATGTGTTTCACTGATCCCAAGCACCTCTAGGTTGTATCTCCTCATTTCTGCAGCAATTTGGAAGGCTCTCCCGGTGTCCCACATTGGCAGAAGGGGCATCGGCCTTGTAACTTCCGAAGGAATTCGGCTTTCATCATGAGGCGTCATAGTTCTTCTAAAAGAAGACCTTCTGACTTCCAGGGCAGAGCTTAGAAGGTTTGAATAATTTTTTCTGGTTAACGTTTTTTTAGCGAGTTAGTTTTCTATGGGATGGGGACGCTAACCCCATGCCCAACCCTCCTCCTTTATCCGGGCTTGAAACCGGCAGTAGCCCCTGGAGGGACTTCAGTCGGAGTTATATATATATATATATATATATATATATATATATATATATATATATATATATATATATATGAATAAGCATGAATATGGTTATTTAAAGATAGACATGGAAATCACAAAGAGGGAGTATATCGGTAATGATCTATAATTTGAAAATCGATAAGATATCTGCCCTAACGATGATAGGAGACTTAAGAGGTTTACATGTTTTAAAATGTATGGTTAAGTGAAGTGGTATATGGATACAAATCTGGAAAACATACGATATATAATGAGTGAATAAGCACCCTCAAGAAAATACATTCGTGATCAAAATAAGGTGATTAGGTGAAAAGGGAATTAATAAGTAATGGTTCACCATAGGTACATCCTCAATATTTAAATTCTGAGCAAAGACCTAGAAATTGCGTACTCGATTCCGAATGGCTTGCTTCTAAAGTAAGCCTTTGTCGCAGTTCGTGTCACATAAGGTGACGAACCTTGTCGCTTGATAAGCAATCTTCTCTGCAGCATTTATTCTGAAGTTAATTAATCCTATATTTTCATCCCATTTTACTTTGACTGCCATGGTAAATTCCTAATTTCGACTAAATTGTCTCCACTTATTTCTATCGTTTGTAATTTTTTCCTAGTATTCAATTAGTTGTTCTTTCATCCACTTAAAAACTATCTCACTTGAAATAATGTAAAATCTTCATCTCTTCTAAATAACTCAGCTGATCAAAAATAAGGCTGTTGACTGATTTATATTCAGCTTTAGGTAGTTATCGAGGTTATTATTCAGATATTCCTTTCGAGATCATCTACAAAGTCGGACGAATTGCTTCAGAAATGTTTATAGAATTAGAAAATCGTGTATAGCAATTTACTAATCCAACTCGGATGATATCACAGTTCTATATACATTTATGAATATATTCATTTTAATTGACTGCCAGCTAACGAAACCTGAGTATAACAAAGCATCTGCCTGTAAGCATTTTGGATCTAGGTGCACAGATTGCCGGTTTATGATTTTTGGTCAATTAAAATATTCATTTATGCAATAATAATTACTTATGGTAATGAGAACTAGGTTTATAGTGAATTCAGTCTAATGTCCTTCAACTCACATCTGTTCATCTAAGTCCGATTCAAGCTGAGGAGACGAGGGATATAAATGTTCAGTGAGTTTGACAACTAAATAATTACGTCCCTCATCCTCTTCTGTGTACTTTATCTTGTGGCTAAGTGGTAAATTAATAATAGGAAGACCACTACATTCAGCTCGGTTACAATCCTTATTTTTTAAATTATTTGTTCTGGTACAAATACCTCAGTGCTTGGTAAGAAAATGTACTTTTGAATTCCATGTATTTCTGTTTCCTTTTTGTAGATTATTTCTATGTATTCGTTTCATCATTTAAAACGCTTCAACACTTCAAATATGAACAAGACACGCCACGTTGCCAGTAGAGAGTCGTTATTTGCTATGAGTCAACTGCCGTTATCTTTTTCGAAGGATGACGTAACTCAGTCTACTTTTAGATTCTCATCTACCTATTCTATGCCACGATACTCCTTGCATTGTATTCCAAAATCAGGCCCAATCGACCATTCGGTACGTAGTCCTCGCTCAATATCTGATGAGTCTGATGGTGCCTTGGATATTGATGATCAATACTTCAAGCCTAAATCAGGGAAAAATCCTTATACAAAGGTCTTCATAACACCGTGTAACAAACCAGGTCAAACAGTTGCTCATGGTATGAATGGTGATAGTAGTAATGTAAACGGTACTTTACGTAAAGTGAATAAATCAACAAAGAAAACTAATCGTTGTACAAATCCATGCTTCTTTCGTCATACACATTTACAGTCTTTTGAGGAAAGGTTGGAAGTTAACTCTCATAGAAAGTTACCACAATTTTATTCATCATATAGTTTAGACCATTCAACTACTTATCACATTCCAGCTCTTCGACAAAATATAAGAATTTCAAATATGATCAGTAGAACTTCAATCGAAATGATTCCATGAGAAGTATAATATGAATTACTTCTTTATGCATTTTTTGTGTACACTTACAACGATATAAAATACACTTACCATATCCTAGAACTCTTTCCTAATGTTGTTTTGTCGTTATAATATGATCCAGAATATAAATTGGTTGGTTGAACAGTAAATATTTTAAAATGAATATATTGTTATGTCTTGCATTACATTTTATCAATGTTGATGGTGAGGTCAATATTTGGAATCAGTGATATTTATCTAAATTTCATGTTTGCAAATGATTTGTTTATTCCTTTATCGTCTATAATACTAGTTTGTAACTCTCATCATTATTAAACCATAATGTTAATTGTTTTCTATCAATGAGATTTAATACGTAATTTCTTAAATTGTATTTTCTTATTAATCAAAAAATTCATTTTCATTCTTATTTTGTATATCCAATTTTAGATTAAATTGTTTACATTGTTTCACGCTTATATCATTATTTCACTTATTACGATTTCTCAATTAATTAAAATGACTTTATTCCCATTTAATAGTAATTTAAATGTATATGATACTCAACAATGATTACTTTCAACATGTAGAAGTAACTAAACCTAATTGCATTTTAATGCATAGGGAAGTGCATGGTGTACAGATTGCTATTTGAAGGGTATTCAAGGCTCCCTAGCCGTCAGATATGTAGATCTATTAAAATCCACAAAAAAAACAATGTGACTGTTTTGTGAACTTCATAATTGATCTGTAAGCTTTAGAGGTTTTTCGAAACTCTTATGATAAGTATACAGTTAGTCTACATGTGAATTCTCTATTGACCTTTCCAAATGTGCTTTTGGCATCCATTACTACTATGCGAACTTTTCTCTAAGTCCCTGACTAATTCCTTCCTGAATACGACTGTTTTCGAGTCAACGCCGAAGAGACCTTTAAGTAAGGCATAAACTTACGTTAGAGTAGTTATGATTGATATACGAGCTTCGGGAGGGGTGACACCAACTGATCGTCGACATCGATGACTGTTATATTTCATTTGTCTCCATTTTTCAACTGATATCGAGGATTTTCAAGCCAAAGTTTCTCTTTGTGCTTTAAATAGGTAGTTATCAGAGTAAACTCTTGACGGAAGGTCTAATCTTATCTGTTTGGTGTTATAAAGTACCCATAGTGTGTGATTAGTTTTGATCTGCCTACTGAATTGATAAAATCCCCTACTGCACTGGCCAACTATACTCGATCCTTAATTGCTTTTTTGAAACGGGATAAGCAATTTAATGTGGGACCAGTATGAGTTTGTTCTGGCAGGAGCCGGAAGCTGTGTCGACGAATACTACAAACGCATCCAGCATACACACGAGTTTCAATGAAAATCCAGTTTCTGAGTCCTTGTTTACTCATTCGAATAGTCAACGGGTGAGTTTAAAGTAACCGAACTCAATAGCGACTACATTTCGGATTAATTTAATTTTCATTTGCATGTAAATTTCTAAGTACTTCTCTATTTCGTAAACTGATTTCATCTCTTTCAAAAATATTTCAACGGTTTTTAAATTTAAGAATAATGTGCTATTTTATAGTGATTCAGTTATTTAGAAGATAGATAAAAACCAGAGAGAGAATTTCCAACAAGTTGATGGAAGTCAATCTTCAGATACCTTAATCTATAATTTATGTTTGCGTGTTGCTGAAGCTGTAAAAAGTGAACGGACGTTGAACAGCGTCTAGTTTACCAGTGTGAAGCTTATTCAATTGCATGAACAGTCAGTCAGTTAGCTACAACATAGGACCAGGCACATATATGCATCGGTCCAAGTTGCCATACCTCATTAACACAACAAGATGGACACCGGATTCATAGAAGTAGTTAATTCAGAGGTGGTAATATATGAAAGGACGATTGCAGTAAGGATATAGTACAGGAAGAAAGAATTAGTTCATAGAAAGAAAGATATGGAGCGATTTTATTCTCAGTTTAACCGAAGACAGAGAGTGTATAGACCAACGCCATTGTGATCGATTCTGAGCCATATCACAAAGAGTCTCCAACCATTAGTTACCATGTAGTCTGCATCACCCAACATGACTAGAAGTTAGTGACTTCAAGCACTTATGCCACGTTTTGGTTTACTTACTTACTTACGCCTGTTACTCCCAATGGAGCATAGGCCGCCGACCAACATTCTCCAACCCACTCTGTCCTGGGCCTTCTTTTCTAGCTCCATCTAATTCTTGTTCATTTTTCTCATGTCTTTCTCCATTTCTCGGCGTAATGTGTTCTTTGGTCTTCCTCTTTTCCTTTGGCCTTCAGGATTCCATGTGAGGGCTTGTCTTGTGACGCATTTGGGTGCTTTCCTCAATGTGTGTCCTATCCACTTCCAGCTATTCTTCCTGATTTCTTCCTCCGGTGGGATCTGGTTTGTTCTCTCCCACAGTACGTTGTTGCTAATAGTGTCCGGCCAACGGATCTGAAGTATTTTGCGTAGACAACTGTTAATAAACACCTGTATTTTCTGGATGGTGGCTTTCGTAGTTGTCCAGGTTTCCGCTTCATACAGTAGAACTGTCTTGACATTTGTATTGAAAATCCTGACCTTGGTGTTGGTTGACATCTGCTTTGAGTTCCAGATGTTCCTCAGTTGTAAATATGCTGCTCTTGCTTTGCCGTTCCGCACCTTCACATCTGCATCAGATCCACTCTGTTCATCAATGATGCTGCCCAAATATGTAAAGGTTTTTACATTTTCGAAATCTTCTCCGTCAATTGTGATTGGATTGGTGCATGCTGTGTTGTATCGGAGAATCCTGCTTTTCCCTTTGTGTATGTTGAGACCTACTGCTGCTGAGGCTGCTGCCACACTGTTCGTCTTCTCCTGCATTTGTCGTTGCGTTTGGGATAGAAGGGCCAGATCATCTGCGAAGTCTAGATCGTCCAACTGCATCCTAGATGTCCATTGTATCCCGTGCTTCCCTTCAGATGTTGACGTCTTCATGATCCAGTCGATCACCAGGAGAAAGACAAAGGGTGAGAGTAAGCAACCTTGCCTAACACCGGTCTTCACTTCGAACGACTTTGTCAACTGTCCTCCATGCACGATTTTGCAGTGTAATCCATCATATGAACTCCGTATGATATTGACTATCTTCTGAGGCACGCCGTAGTGTCGAACAAGCTTCCATAGTGTTGTTCTGTCCACGCTATCAAATGCCTTTTCGTAGTCAATGAAGTTGATGTAGAGTGATGAATTCCATTCAAGTGATTGTTCCACAATGATCCGTTGAGTTGCGATTTGGTCTGTACACGATCTATCCTTACGGAATCCTGCCTATTGGTCACGAAGTTGGGCGTCTACGCAGTCCTTCATCCTGTTTAACAATACTCTGTTGAAGACTTTTCCTGGTATTGAGAGAAGAGTGATGCCCTTGTGGTTATCACACTTGCTGAGATCGCCTTTCTTTGGTATTTTGATCAGAAGTCCTTCTTCCCAGTCTGTTGGTACTTGTTCCTCATCCCTAATCTTATTGAAGAGAATGTGGAGTATCCTTGCAGTTGCCGCTACGTCTGCATTTAGTGCCTCTGCTGGAATGTTGTCTGTTCCTGCTGTTTTGCCGCTCTTGATTTGCCTGATGGCCATGCTGATTTCTTCAATTGTTGGTGGGCCAACATTGATTGGGAGGTCCGTGGGTGCTGCTTCGATGTTGGGTGGGTTCAGTGGAGCTGGTCGATCCAAGTGTACTTTGAAATGTTCTACGCACCTGTTTTGTTGCTCTTCAATGTTGGTGATTACCTCGCCTTCCTTGCTTTTCACTGGTCGTTCTGGTTTGCGGCGATTTCCAGAGAGTTTCATTGTCGCGTCATACAGTTGTCTCATGTTTCCTTCTCTTGCAGACTTTTCCGCCGTCATCGCTAAATCTTACACATATTTACGTTTGTCAGTTCTGATGCTCCTCTTCACTTGTTTGTTTACTTCTGTGTATTCAGCTTGTGCCTTGGCTTTTTCTGCTCTTGTTCGACTGGTATTGATTTCTGCTTTCTTGTTCCTCCTTTCTTGAATCTCATCCAGTGTATCAACAGTGATCCATTCCTTGTGATGGTGCTTCTTGTGACCCAGGACCTCATGATATGTTGAAGTGATTGCCTCTTTGATCCCCTTCCAGTCGCTCTCCACAGTAGTTCCTTCTCCATTGAGTAGATCATGAAAGGCCTGGAACTTGTTGCTGAGGACTATCTTGAATTTGTTGAGTTTGTTAGTATCGTGAAGAAAGGCCGTATTGAACTTTTGTGATATTGCCCGCCCCATTGGCCAGTGCTTCTTGAGTTTCAATTTCATCTTGGCGACCAGCAAGTGATGATCTGATGCTATATCAGCTCCTCTCTTGGTTCTCACATCCTCCATCGTCATCCTGAACGTTTTGTTGATGCAAATATGGTCGATTTGGTTTTGCGTGGTGTGGTCCGGTGAAGTCCATGTGGTTTTGTGTATGCGTTTATGTGGGAATATGGTGCCGCCTATGATCAGTTTATTGAAGGCACATAGGTTTGCAAATCTCTCACCATTTTCGTTCCTTTCTCCCAGTCCGCGTCGTCCCATAATGTCTTCATATCCAGTGTTGTCCGTTCCAACCTTGGCATTGAAATCTCACATCAGAATGGTCAGGTCCTTTGTTGGGCACTTCTCGATGATTGACTGAAGCCTATTGTAGAATTGATCTTTAGCTTCTTCATTGTAGTCGTTGGTAGGCACATAGCATTGGATGATGTTCATTGAAATGCCCTCTTTCTTTGTTTTGAAGGAGGCTTTGATGATCCTTGGTCCATGAGATTCCCATCCTATAAGTGCCTTTTGTGCTTGTTTGGACAGCATCAATGCAACTCCTTGTGTATGTGGTGCATTTTCTTCTTCATGGCCGGAGTATAACAGAAGCTCCCCTGAAGCTAGTCGTCGTTGTCCAACTTGCGTCCAATGTGTTTCACTGATGCCAAGCACCTCTAGGTTGTATCTCCTCATTTCTGCAGCAATTTAGAAGGCTCTCCCGGTGTCCGTCGTTGTACGAACATTACATGTACCTAAATAAATGGTTGCTCTGGTTGTCAGAAGGGGCATCGGCCTTGTAACTTCCGAAGGAATTCGGCTTTCATCATGAGGCGTCAAAGTTCTTCTAAATGAAGACCTTCTGACTCCCAGGGCAGAGTTTAGAAGGCTTGAATAATTTTTTGTGGTTAACGTTTTATTAGCGAGTTACTTTTCTACGGGATGGGGACGTTAATCCCATGCCCAAACCTCCTCTTTTATCTGGGCTTGGGACCGGTAGGAGCCCCCGGAGGAACTCCGGGCGGAGTCTTGGTTTGGCCGCCTCTAACTTTCTTCCAACCATCTCCAACACCGGTTACCATTGCACGACGTGGTAATCGGTGTTCGGGCATACGTAATACGTGACCCAGTTTATTTCAAACATTAATTTTTTCATTTATACTTCAAAATTTACTACTTTGTGGTTGATTTTATATCTACCTAGTCGATGTTGAAAGTTATAGTACTGGATTAGTCTTACCCCTAATACTGTATCTTAAATGTGTAACCGATATGTTTCTGCATACATTTCGTCTGTGTTACTCCCAAACCTTAAATTAGCAATCTATCAAATGGAAAGTTATTCATTTATTCAGTTCCGTTAACTTAGTTTTAGCGATCCTGTTCATATAACGAATGTATCAGTCAGTCAGTCAGCTTCAACGTAGGACCAGGCACATATATGCATCGGTCCAAGTTGCCATACCTCATTAACACAACAAGATGGACACCGGATTCATAAAAGTAGTTAATTCAGAAGGTGCATATAAAGGATATAGTACAGGAAGAAAGAATTAGTTCGTAGAAAGAAAGATATGGAGCGATTTTAATCTCTTAGTTTAAGGATGACAGCAAGTGTATACACCGACGCCATTGTGATCGGTTCTGAGCCATATCACCAAGAGTCTCCAACCATTGGTTACGATAGTTACGTGGACCGCAACCAAGTAGTCTGCATCTCCCAACATGACTCAGACTAGAAGTTAGTGACTTCAAGCACTGATGCCACGTTTTGGTTTGGCCACCCCTAACTTTCTTCCAACCATCCCGAACACCGGTTAGCATTGCGCGTCGTGGTAATCGGTGTTCGGGCATACGTAACACGTGGCCCAACCATCTCAGTCGATGAAGATTCACAACCTCATCAACTGATTTACCATCATTCTATAATGCCTTGCGTCTAATTTCACTATTACTTACCCGGTGATCCCAGCAGATGCCAGCAATATTTCTAAGGCATCTGTGGTCAAATACTAGTAACTTACGAGTGTATTGTACTCTTAATGACCATGTTTCGCTGCCGTAAATTGAAACAGAACGGACTGCCGCGCAGTATAGTCGTCCTTTCATTGATAGACGGATATCTCGCCTTCGCCATAGGTGACGTAAGTTGGCAAAAGCCAAGAGAGCTTTTCGAATCCGTGCTGAGATTTCGTCAGACACCAACCTATTAGGGCTGATCAGACTTCCAAGATAAGTGAAGTTGTCAACGTGTTCGACTGCTTCACTCCCTATCCTTAGTTCAGGTGTTGCTGCAGACCAGTCATGAAGCAACAACTTGCATTTAGAGGGAAAGAAGTGCATTCCAAATATTCTGGCATTATTGCTTAGTGCTACCAAAAGACTCTGCATTTCATCAGCGTCTTCACCAAACAGGACTATGTCATCTGCGTATTCTAAGTAGATAAGTAGACCTCCTGGAAGGAGATCAATACCCGAGAATTCAGTAGACGAGAATGTTATTTCCATCAATAGGTCTATGATGAAGTTAAACAAAAATGGAGAAAGTGGACAGCCTTGACGGACACCACTTGAGGTTGCGAAATCAGATGACAGTTCATCATAAGCTCTGACTCGACTAGTAGTGTTCGAGTAAAGAGCCTTCACAAGGTTTATGTACTTCTGAGGTACACCTTTCAGTGACAGACACTGTCATACAATCTCTCAGTCTACAGAGTCAGATACTGCTTTTAAGTCAAGAAAAAACTATCATTGTCGGGTGCTGATAAGTATGCCTGTGCTCTGAAAGCGGACTAATGGTGAATAAATGGTCGATGCAGCCACGGCCAGATCTGAAGCCAGCTTGATTTCTTCGTGTTTGCAGTTCACGAGTCTTGGTTAGGCGCCCGATAATTATTGAGGCTAGTATGTTAGATGCTATATTAGACAAACTAATCCCTCTATGGTTATTACAGGATGATTTTGACACCTTCTTATATATTGGGACGATAAGTGATTGTGATCAGTCAGATGGGATTACGTCCAACTCCCAGATCTTAGCTAAAATATTAGTCAACCTAATCGCTATAATTGGGCCACCATCCTTAAAGACCTCTGGAGCCAATCCATCTGGACGAGCTGCCCTTCCTCGTTTCAGATTAACTATAGCCTTTTGAACTTCTGCTAGAGTTAGGGGACCTACTTCAATGTTCCATTCACACTGTCTGGGAATGGAGGGTAGTTGTAGAGTAGCTGAAGGCCAGCTGAACTGTTCTCTGAAATGTTCCACCCATCGTTCTAAACGTCTGGACTGAGAGCAGATGAGGGTGTCGTCTTTTTCCGAAATAGTCTGACTTACACTTGGTTTATTAATTCCGGTTTCTTTTATTAGTCTGTAGAGCTGTCTTGTGTTTCCTATAGCAGCCGCCTTTTCCATCTCTTTTGCTTTCGTTGCCCACCTCTGCTCACGGTCGTTCCTTAGACTTTTGCCTAACCTAGATCTGATTTGTTTTCGCTCTTCATCGTGTTCAGAACCTGATGGAATGAGTTTACAAGAATCTATCAGTGCAATAGACCTTGAGAAAATCCATTGGTTCTTTGTAACCTTGTGGTTTAAATCACTGATAGATTTCACTGCTGTTTCCACAGCTGTTTGTATAGCTTTCCAAGCAACATCTGGGTCAACCTCGTTTTCAGAACTACCTAATCGTGACCTCAGTTGATCCTGGAAACTACTTTTGATTTTCTCGCTACTCAATTCAGTTCTAACGGGTCTTTTTACTGAGGCTTTTTTGCGTCCAGTGAGGCGCAAGCAGATGCGTGCCCGTATTAGGGCATGGTCGGAGTCCAAGCAGGTACTCCAGAATGAGTGACAATCTTCTACCGACCCTCTCCAACGATGACTGATGGCAATATGGTCTATTTGAGTCCATCGTTGGTTTGGTGTAAGGGGTCGCTATGTTAGACGATGTCTCTCCTCATGCTTAAAATTTGTGTTTGCTAAAGATAAAGGATTGTCTGAGCACAGTTGCAGCAGACGATCACCATTATCTGTTCGTTGTGCTGGAATACTAAAAGACCCACCTAAATGCCTTTCTGTTTGGTTTAAACTACCTATCTGCTATCTACCACCTGCTACGAGTACTATGTCTGAAAGTTTAGCTTTCTGAAGAAGTTCAGATAGCTTTCTGTAAAATTCATCTTTCACTTCATCTGAGCTGCAGTCGGTGAGAGCGTAGGCAGAAACGACAAAAAGGCAACGACGTGTGTCCCTATCCTTCTGAGTTCTCACGGAGCCGTTTAGCCGAGCAGCACACAAACGACTGTTAACGGGGATCCACTCTAACAGTGCTTGTTCCGCCCTCATGCTTAGTGCTATCCCTACTCCTGCCAGTCCACGAGAGCTGGCCGTCGGGGCACCAGATACACGGAGAGTGTATCTCGTTGGTTCTCCGTTTTGCCGAGGTGAGGTCAAGTGAATGACCACACTGGGATCCTGTATGTGTGTTTCAGAGACACAGCATACACCAATGGTACGAGATTCTAGGGTTCTAGTCAGGGAAGCCTGTTGACCGATTTGACATAGGGTGCGTACATTGAAGGCTCCAATGCGTAGTTTGGAGCGAGATTTCAGTAGACCTGCGACAGTGTTTTGAGCACTAGAATCGTTGGCTATGGTGACACTTAAGGGGGAAGCCGAAAAAGGAAGTTTAGAGGTGAAAGTCGATGTAGGAAGAATAATAGAAAGTGAAGACGGAGGTTGATTATGAATGCAATGATCTTGAGTGCTGTTAGAGGTATGAGGGCGGTTATCACTTCCCGGTTGCCCACACCGTGGAAGGGTTCCTCTGGAGGTACCCGAAAAGGAAATAGGATTAGAGGTGGTCTTAGTGACCTGGGAGCGTGACCGCAGTGCCCAAGGGACAACTGCTTGAGGTCGGTCACACACGACCTTTTTATGGGTAATTTTTGTGTTAGCTCTGTACTTGTTGAGACCTTACCGCCGGAGACGGATATCCGTGGGATAAGGTGAGGTGTGCATTTTTAGGGTCGACCTTTTCTAACCCCACCCCTCCTTGTGGGAAGGCAGCATCGCTGTCATGCTGGTTGTCTGAAGGAAACACCTTACTGCTGTCACACCTCTGTACAGTCAGCAGTACGACTTCGCCTTCGGACCTTGGGTTTGTTGCTTGGAGCTTATGAGGGATCTAATAAGTAAAACGTTCTTAACCTACTTTATACCACGAGTTCGTTGTCATTTAGGCGATAGCGATCGTCAGTGGACACAAAAAATGTGTGAAAATACGAGCATTTTTTGTATGAATACAATAAACATGAATACGTGATCTACGGGTCACGCGACGTAATAGCACCGAAAATGGGATAAGTTTTTGAAGTCATACATCCAACTAATTCACTGTACTAAAATAAAAAAGATTGGTTCTGAGTGTTTTAAAAAAAGTGAAAATATTGTTATAATGATAGTAATGCGATTACGTGTACTTGATTTTGAAAGTCGTATTGCTTAAATAGATGGTTTTATCCATTCAAAAAGTGGCTAAAGAAATAAAAATTAATGTTACCTAAAAAATTTAACAGTACTTTTACTATTTGTATATTATTCAACAAATAATTACTACTGAGATCATTTAATTACGTGATACAAATTGAAGTAGGGTTTTTCCAGACAAACGATATTGATTAATGACAACAATAGAAAGCAAAAGTCTTTAGTGTGTTCTAACTTTTACAACACTGTACAAAAGGTAAGGTAACCACATAAATATAACAGGTGAAAATCTACATTCAGTCATAAGCAACATAAAACCTGACAAATATATGCATCAGTTCATATTGCAAAAGGACATCAACAGCGAGATATTATTAGGATAAGTGATAATTCTACCTAGTCATTCACATAACTAGGTGTCATCTTTTAAACCGATATTCACATCATTCTGAATCAACAAACTGTTTTTTTTCAAACCTACAGTACTTTTAAACGCTTGTTTTGCAGCAAGACGTCTTTTAGACCGTAGATAAAGTTGATGTTCTTTCGACTTTTCTCGATGACGAAGTTGTTGAATTCGGCTATTTTCCCCATTAAAGTGTACATCTAATTTATCATTTAATCTTTGACGCGCTAATTCACGATTTCTCTCCAGCTCTCTACTATCCTATAACAACAACAAAATATTATTAAAAATTAATAATGAACAGGTAAATAGAATACTACTAAATATTTTACCTTGAAAAAGTAATGAGCATTAAACAGTTGTTTTGCGTTACCAGTGTAAAGTTGTGGAGATTTTTTAACTTTAACGAGATCATGAACCGATTTAATTAACATAACCATTGAAAACATAGGACGGGACAGGTATTTCGTTCAAGTGTGAGACTAATCAGGACCCAACACGGTTGGACTCTACTGGTCACTGCTTTTGATCGGAACTCATGAAATACTCTTTCGATGAATATACGCACCGAAAGTAATGGAAAATAGTCGCGGAGTACCGCAAACTGATTGGAGTTAGGTTTGTACGTCAGTGAGTTCCGGCTTAGTGGTCTAGTGGTCAAGCGTTCTCACGAGGGACCGAAGGGCATGGGTTCGATTCCCTGTTACGATGTCATGATTGGGCACTGTTAAGGAGTCCTACACTATGACGGACGGAAGTTCGGAGCTCAGTGGTTTCGAACGTTTTACCAAATGATCTCAGCTCGTTGCGCGAGTCATCTACTTACTAAACCTATCTACAAAAGCGTAAACATGAGTCTCCGGAGATTTTTAAAAAAAAAACAGAATTATGTAGCATTTCGAAATGAGGACGGGTGTACCAAGTTTATATTTATCACTAAATTGAGACCTTTAGATGCGGTCGAAGAAAAACCGAGATTCATTAGCTCGATATCTGATAAAAAGGGTCGCCTGTCCTGTTATGTTGTCATCCATGTACAAAGAAAGCTTCGTCAGGTATATAAAACTGAGTTGCATTTTTTTCCTATTTCGTTTATTAGGAATTCTATAACTATGTTTTATACATCATTATGTGGTAGTCTGAGTGATGTTTGTATGCATTAACAAATAATCAGGAATCCCATATTCGAAAGCTTAATGAAATACTATTTAATAAGTAGTTTTTACCACGAATTGATAATACCAACATCATTGAAACTACAGGACACTATGGACAATTACTTCACTTAATTTCTGACACAATGACAAGGGACGATCAAAAGGCATTCACTATACATACTTGTTTAATGGCTTTTCAAGGGATATCTCTTGGATAGAAAAATTTTTTTCTGAATGACCCGAAACCAATTCAACAATATAAAAGTAGCTGGAGAGTCAGTTAACAAAGCAATGAAATAAATGAGACTGAAATATTATCTGAAGTAGCTAAAGGAAATACACGATTACAATATGAAACTAGTCAACGGGTCATACAGTGACCACTGGGAAGTACTTAAATAAATAGGCATTATGATAGCAAGTCATTAATCCGTCTTTTTTGTATTATATAATCGTAGTCATCTAACTGGGGTTGCCACACTGGCGAATGTTGGAAATGGATAAAAACTTAAGTGTGATAAATCGAAACATGGCACCCATCTATTAAGTCATTTACTATTGATATGAGTAGTAAGATAATACCAGCTTTCTGAGTTGGCTTCAGGAAACAAGTATAATCATATGTCAAATACATCGGACCATATAGTTTAAAATCAAACTCATTAATACAAATATATCAACTGTCTGATTCCCATTCTCTAATATCAACTCAGTATCGACATCTCGTCTTCTGAGGAGCGATCACCATCGTACCGAGCGTGTTCGGGTTATACACGAAATATCATGAAATACTCATTTCGAGGACAGCAACCAAGTACATAACTAAACCAACAGTTAATAGTTGAATGAAAGTCTCAGTATCATGGTCTTATTGCCGTTAGTTTATTTCAAGTTATTTTGACATATTGCGAACTGAATTCGCATTTATGATACATGACTCATTTAATTTAGGCCACTGTATGCTAGTAATGCACTTAAAAAACACATCCGAAGAAAATTAAACATGGAAAATACCTGACACTTCACCATGATACCTGTGGGAATGTGTTTTAAGACCACACAATTGGCAGTCGTGTTAATTGACTGACCACCTGGACCACTTCCAAGTACATACATTTCAGACAGGTCACATTCATTAAAAAGCCACTGATTTTTAGAGTAAAATCTCAATGCGAAGTGATATGGCGATAAACTGCATCTTGTCAACCAATTATATATTCTTAACATGATGAAGATGTAGATGCTTTAAAGCATTCTAAATCTAGAAACAAAACATGCAACCACCTTCAGGAAATTGTAACATACAGTCGCATAAAAAAACAGATGAAAGAACACCTCAAGTGACACATTTTGAATAATACGCTGAAACAGCAATCAAAAATCGAAAACTCCTATCAAAATTAAAAACAATTTGGATCATCTCATTCATATTTACCGGTGTAATATAAACCAGATATAAGGACTTGTCTATAAGGACAAAAGTTGATATACAAAAGGAACTTCAAACAAGGAAGTAATTAAATCGTTACTTCTGTTACTACGCCTGGTTAAACCTCTTTATGAGCTGAAAATAGTGTAGGCAACCGAATCTTACTCCAAAATCCACAAAATCATACATAGTATATGCTGTAATTACATAAGACTGTGAAAATCAATGGATTAACAGAAAGCAAGATATCTGAACACTTATAGAAAGAATAATTCCGTTTGATGATAATTTCATTGATGTAACAAAGACAATATTCAAAACAATCATAAAGCTTTTCCTGCAAGAATAATAAAACATTGCCACTTTACAATTTTTTTCTTTCACAGAGTGATACCACACATTACTAGATGAGTTCATATCAGGTAATATCAATTGTGGTCGTAAGAAGCCTAGATCATAGTCCCAGGGTTTCAGAAGCAATAATCCAATGGCCAAACAGAACGATTGGTAAGTCTTCAAATAGACCACATAAATGAAGCGATAGGGTGCTCAGTCAAACAATTATTAGGTTTCTGACATAATATCAAGATTCTCCTCATTTCTGTTTTAGAGGAAACGTTACAAATGGTGGTAAACTTGATATTTATTGCTTCTGAAAACCTAAGACTATGATCTAGGCTTCTTACGACCATAATTGATATTACCGGCGAGACTAATTTGGGGACGAGACAATCAGAAGCATTTGAGCAATTTCAGTTATTAGCCAATCAGAAGACAGCATACAGTAAAAATATATTAAGAAAGTAAGGAATTACAGTAGATTTTCTTCTTTTACATGATTTAAAAACTCGTATGTTATCATCCTAACCCTAACCCTCACCTAACCTTAAACCTTAACCCTCAACTAACCCTAACCCTAAACCCTAAACTTAACCCTAACCCTAGCCGTATGTTAGCACCCTAATCCCTAACCTTACCCGTAAACCTTAACCTAACCCAATGGACGAGTTTCTATTCTATATGCATTGTGAATTCAGAACCTCTGAACCTTAATCAAACCTTAACAAGTTTTTAAATCATGTAAATGAATATCCACTGTAATTCATTACTTTCATATATTTTCACTTTATACTTTCTTCTGATTGGCTAATAATTGTCAAGGTCACTCAAGATTCGTTCAAAGGTCGTCCTCTAATTTAGGGAATCGCTTGAAAGTATCTGAAAGGCATGAACACAGCACATAACGTCGAATGTATGGTGAAAAAAACCAAATCGAGCCGAGTTCAGTGTTACTCTAACGTCTGTACGTGGGTCACCGTATACTTACGCCTACATAAGCGATTTCGAAATATTTTGGCCACTTTGGACCCTTCCCAATACAAACATTCGTTAAACTTCAACGTCAGAATACGCTTCTAATCACGTCTTTTTATTTTATTTGATGCAAGTATGAAAAATAAGAAAAAGTTGGATAACTCACTTATTTACAGAAAAGTCAATACTAGATGAAATCCAACCCAATCTCGTTATCTTAGAGAAATTCTGAACTTAAGGTAGAATTTAGAGTTTTTCCCAACATCGCAGGAAATGTGGTAGTTTTACCCAAAGATTCTGTGAAAATATTGAGGGAAATAATAAATTTCTCCAAGCGTTTTGGTGATTTTCCCTGAACTTTGAGGTTTTTATGCCATTTCCTTAAAAACTCTCTGGAGTCTTTTATGGCGATCTTTCTAAAATTTACCCAAACCGGACAAATTTTTCACCAAAATAGGGAGGTTGAGGTCATAGAATGACATTAGCCTTCCATAATAAGGATAGGTCTATTGGTGAGACTATGATTTATGGACGTCCTTTGAGCGACGCTGAAGCGACCCTGAGAGTAAACACCGACTGATTAGAACTAAATGAGGGTTATAAAGCAGTTAGAATTCTCATTTACAGTTGGTAGTAAGAGTTAAAAATTAGATTTAGGATTTTAATCACGAACTGATGTGTGGATGAATTTCGCGCTGTTTAATATCTTCTTGCTTCGTCCACAAATTATAGTCTCGTCGTTCTATCGACCTACTGCTTAGTATAAATATTTACTCGATTTGATCTACCTATTAAACATTTACAATGCTCCATAGTCACTGTGAATTTGAAACTAAAATACAAACAAACGTCTACTTACAATTCGTTGCCCATCGACACACTTAAATATGACCTTGACACAACAAGGAACTTCGAGCCTCGGAGTTGGTTGGGTAGGAATTTTTAATTCCAATGCCCGATAAATCCAGTTTCTTTGTCACAGGATTACGTAGACCGAATGATTTCTTTTCCCTCGCTTCTTTTTGTCTCGGTATAATTTCATGAATTTGTTTGTACCACGCTTTTCGAACAAGAAGTTTGGTCCTAACGTGATTATCAAACTTTTGTTGTTTTCTTACGCAAAAAAGTACCATTTCTAAACGGGAGAATCTATTCTGAGCTATACTTTAGGTAGATTACTTTTTTGGAGTTTCATTCAATTGAATAGTTAACAGGTATCGCCTCAGCTTACTATTCGGTTTTTATTTTCAGTTTTTCACGTAAAGGCTAGTTCAGTTTATCTCATCCGTTTTTATCCACTTTGCTCGTTTTTAGTGTGCTTTTCAGTGTATTTTTGTACGATCTTAGGCGTTTGCTAGCATCTACAACACAGTTTACGTCAATACAGTCATGAAAAATTCATGCAAACGACCTGCATGCCGTTTTGCTGTTACATCTGGCATGCAGTGCGACAACTGCAAAGGTTGGTTCCACGAAGCGTGCACAGATCTCACAGCAACTGCTTACAACAGACTCAGCAAGTCGGATCATAAGTGGGAATGTGTTACGTGCAGCACGGATGCTGTAGTCTTGCTAAGTAATATCATTGTCCTACTGACAGGTCTGTGGAGTAAGTTGTCAGCAAACTTGGAAAAAGACAGTCATAAAACGGGTAGACAAACAAGGGCGCGCAACGCAAACAAGAATAGGAATGTCGACAGGTCTACCATCGATGGAGCATGCATTAGCACTAATGATGACATGTTGAAACTCAATACCATCATTACGTCGACGGCAAGCGACTCCCTCAGGAAACTCGGGTCTCCCAACTCAGGGTTCTTGAATGCAACGGGGTTTCCAAAAACTCTGTAGGTGATTGGACCTACGTTGATAGAGCTAAAAAGAACCATGCGTCACCGTCTAAACTGAACATCTCAAGTGTTGTATGGAAATCAATTGGTGATTTAGTCGCACAGTCCACCCACAAGAATGTCTTGCCGGTCATCAAAGAGCCTGGGATTCAGAAACGTGCTTCGACCTCCAAACAACAAGGTGCTGAACCTGAACGCACTGGAAAATCTGAGAAAACAATAACGGTTCGTGATGAATCTCACATAATCATGAACCTTAAAGACAACCCTGACCTTCCTCTCAGTTTGCAGAACCAAAATGACAGGATAATCTGGGGTGAATTGAACAAGAAACTTGAACTTCCTAGAATAGAGTCTTTGACGGTCACACGACTCATTCGGGGAAAGGAATCTAAGAATCAAAATCACCCGAGGCTACTTCGTGTAACAATTAAGAATGCTGCCGACGTAGAGGATGTCTTGCTAGCGAGTCATTTACTGAAATCCGATGGGAATGTAAGAATATTGCCTGACATACCGTATTCTGAGCGTAATCTCATCCGGAACATCCCCAAAGAATCTCGCGAGAAGTTTTTCCGCGGAGGGAATATAATTGTGAAAGGTGTACCGGAAAACACGGACCCTAATCAAGCAAACTCCGATATCAAGGAATAGAAATTCATCAAACAGTCCTTTAGGCTTAAAAACATACTGGCTCAACACGTGACGAGACTAGCCAAAAGGGACGGTGATTCCAGACCCCGTCTAATGAGGATAACTTTCCCATCCTCCCACATAGCGGCTTCAACTCTAGAGGCCTTTCGTGCCAACAGACGTCGGTTGCCAGTTGGAATCCACATGCACCCGGATAGGCCATATGAAGCCAGGACCAATCACAGGGGCAAGTCGGAGCTGATCATTCCATTTGTGTACTGTCTTGATGATAAAAAAACGTGTAATGGATAGGGCCCACCAACTCAGCAAACCTCATATAGTTAGGCTACACATTCACGTAAGGCTCATACACACAAACAGGAAGAAGCTCACGCGTTTCAAATTGAAAGCATAAACTGCTTATACATGAACGCGCTGGTAACGTTGAAGCGCAGTTTTGGCCAGTTTGACGGAAGAACTTTCCATATAATCTTCAACGGTTTTATCCTTCCGTACTTAGAGAACGGAAACATAGTATTTCCTCCCTCACTCCAAACGGATAAAGACACTCTAGAGTGTATCCAACGTTGAGCCACGAAATCAGTTCGAGGACTCAAATTTAAACCCTACGAAGAGCGCCTCCATTCACCTCACCTTTACCCATTAGATTATAGGCGTCTTAGAGGTGATCTTCTGATGGCTTACAGTATCCTTAAGACTTCTGGACATCCTCTTAAACACCTACTTAAGCTTAGTCCCAATACAAACCTAAGGGGTATCACCCAGAAATTGGAGACATAAAAAAGCAGAACGGACTGTAGACACAACTTCTACTTCAGAGTTGTCAAATGCTGGAATTCGCTGCCGACCGAGCTAGTTCAAGCGACTTCCCAGGAGTCCTTTTAGAGGCAACTTGATCTATTCTTAAAGACTAAGGATAGTATCACACTATGATCTGTCAATTTCTTTTCCTCTTTTATCGTCAACACATCTAGGTTCCTGGAGTTTTTCGTGATCCTCTGCTACTAGACACGGAAGCCTGTTAGGTGAGAGCTTCTTCTATTCCGTCCACAACCCTTTGAACCATTTGAAACCGTATTCTGGTCATTAAACTAATTCTAGTCAGTTTGGTAATTTTTTGTCGATTTGTAACTCTTGTAGTTTGGGTGAGCTGTTTTTTTCACTTTGCGGTAGGCTTTCTGGATACCAGTAGGTTATTTGTTTTAATGTGAAAATAGTATATTGGTAATTCAAGTGCTAAGAAAAGACGATCGTTTCAAGATTAAAAAATCGGAAATGTGTAAGAAAACGAAATTAAAGAACAAGATATTAAACGGAGGCGATGACGACAGAGATAGGATATAAACATTCATATGCGGTGGTGATAACAGTGGTAATTTTTGAGACAAGCTTCAGACACAGTAAGTTCAAACGAAAGATGGTTATCTATGGGTGAGTATGTGTTTCTCAATTCTTCGCTTAAAGCTTTCCACTGGGATGGTCTTTGATCACGTCGTTTAAGAAGGTATTTCAATATGGAGTAACTGTTATTGAGAAAAATTAGCAGCGACGTACGCCCCCAGCTGAACAGTCTTTTGAGGGTTCCTTCGAAGAGTATAGTATTGATGTTCTGACATTATGTTATCATTTGTATTGTATACTATTGTCAAATCACCTTTTTTCTTCTATAGCTGTATGAAAGTAATCCAGAGTGCTTGATTGATGTTTTAACCCTATTATCCGATTGGTCGCCAGTCTCTTCACTTGGTGCAGGGGACTTATGTCGCTTATGAAGGGACTGCAACGATGTTGTAGACTTAAATGTACGTCTGTGTGTATTTTTTCATGTGTTAGGAATAGTTCTGAAGTCAATGCATCAAGCTGTCTTAGCATTAAATGAAAAGTTGATACATAATGGCAGTAATCCCTGAGTGATTTGAACTGGTGCTTTGTCTTCCTGTGTTTACAAGCCCGAGATCAGGCATTTGGTACCAGAATTTCCAATTATAAATGATTAATAATTCTAATGGGATTGTTGTGGTTCCAGTAA